AGCTTATCAACGTATGGAAATGTCATTACAAATAAAGGAAATTGACTAACAAATGAAAGGGCACAAAAAAATGTTTATATCAGACAAAATTTAAATATAGCGGACTGTTCATCTGGTTCATTACAATCTTCTTTGAAGTCAGAATATGAATCCGACTGGTCTGAAGTAGATAGCGAAACTGAACTAGATCAAATAGTTGATTTAGAGATCTCATTTAGTCCAGCTCATTGTGAAATACCAATGTAACATATGCATATATAAATAATAAAATATAATCTTATATAATTCTTATAAAATTAAAATAAATTTTTTTTATACAAAGTACAAGGAACTTAAGTTTTTTTTAGATTAAGCACCTGCACAAACAAAATTTCATTTAATGTTTTGTTTTCTTTTGCGTTTTGTATTACTTAAACCTAAATTTAAAATATATTTAGTAGCAAATAATTAGTTTTATTCACAAACAAATGAAACAATTCTATGTTCGACACAGACACGCGCCTTAATTTCATTTCGGAGTTATTATTAGTCATGTATGTGTATAAAATATATTACGGTAAATTACCACAGTAATTTACGACACAAATTTATTACCAGGGTAATTAATTTTGGTAATTAAAACCTGTAAATTACCAAAAATATAAATTACGGTAATTTTACATCACTGCTGATCACGTTATGATGTTCAAATTGAACCACAGCCGACATGGAGCTCAGTAACGCCGATGAACGTTATCTACAGGGACTATCCCAAAATTCATGTGGGAAAGAAGAGAAAATCAGAGCTAGAGGGTTTTTTAGGTTGCTGAATTCAAATATAACATCGGCGAACACCCTCTGGACACCTGGTGCGTTGGAACCGGCACGTGGACGTCATCTCCGCGAAGTTTCTTGCCAAGATTGCCAAAAATAACCCAAAAAACCTTGTAGGGATATTTTATGGGGACCTTGATCGAAATTTCACGTGTAAAACGACCTTCGAATACCTAGTGCACCAAAATGTCGTCTTTGAGGGTTCTCCAGACACAATTGTTACTGTTACTTTTTATTATGTTAAGACAAAAAATTTGTTGTATACATTCGTCAATTTCAATTACAATTAATACTTATGTCACTAATAGTATAAAAACAAAAACATTTACAATAAATTGAAGACAGTAACTACAATACATATAGACTGAAGACAAATTAAAAAATTATATAATATAAGTCAATTCAAAATGTCAATAAAATTCATGGATATCATAGAAAACATTCTCTAAAGAAAAGTTTTTATTTTTTTGGAAAATTTTATCTCGTTAAGCAGGCGCCACTCAAGGGGAAGTAGATTAAACAACTTAACATGTAAAAATTGAAAAGAATTGTGATTCCTTGTTAGTCGAAAAAATGGCAATCTTACTTGCATATTTCTTGTTTTATAGGCGTTGCATAAGTTAATAATATTCCTCTTTGCATAAATTAAACATTCATAGATATATTGATTTACACATGTCAGAATTCCTAATTTTTTGAAAAGTGGATGACAACTCTCCCTGAAATTAGCTTTTGTTATTATTCGAATAGCTTTCTTTTGTGCAATCAATATTTTACCTAGATGACATGAGCCTCCCCAAACAAGTATACCGTATGTCATAATGCTGTGAAATAAACCATGATAAGCCATAAGTAAGACCTTGTCATTTACTTGATATGCAAGATTTCTTAATAAATATGAATAACTAGATAACCGAGTTAGAAGATTATTTATATGTGGTTCCCAAGAAAAACTATTGTCAACCTGAATACCCAAATATTTAATTGAACATCTCATTGTTTTCTAATGGATTTAAATTAAATATTAAATTTTGAGTTTTATCCTCATTTAGTTTTAAATTTACCATCTTAAAATAATTAGAATATTCCAAAATGGTTTCATTATGCGAGCAGTATAGATCATTTAAAGAACTGGCGATGTCCAGGACGGTAACGTCATCAGCATAAATAACTTTTTTCTTGATATACTCGAAAATATCGTTAATGAAGATTATAAAAAATAGCGGACCCAGAACTGAGCCCTGTGGGACTCCATGTTCTATACTCCTTACTTTTGACTTATCACCATTTACTTGGACATACTGACTACGTTCCGACAAGTAGCTACTTAAAAGTTTTAAAGGAGTTCCTCTTATACCATACATTTCCAGCTTCGATAAAAGTAGTTTATGTGAAACACAGTCAAATGCCTTCAATAAATCTAGACAAGAGACCATTATCTTGTTACCAATTTATAGTTTTTCGGAGATCGCTGAAACTAAATCTACCAAAGCTGAAACTGTAGATCTTCCTGGTCTAAAACCAAATTGTTGTGCATTTAAAAGATTATGTGTTTCAAGATAATTAAGTAATCTGGCTTTTAACGTTTTTTCAATTAATTTGGAAAGAACTGGTATTACAGAGATGGGTCTGTAGTTTTCAGCTGCTTTTTTATCACCCTTTTTAAAGATGGGAGTTACTCTAGCTATTTTTAGGTTATCTGGAAAGATACCCGAGTCAAAACAGGAATTAATGAGATGCACAATTTGATGAGATACTTCCTCACTAGCAAATTTTAACGTGTCATTCTTAAATCCATAAAAATCTCTGGCCCTTGATGTGCCAAGCTCACGAATTAACTCACTTATTTCAGTATGTGATACTGGTTCCGGGAAAAATGAAAGGTGACACGATTATTGTTAAGCTTAGTTATGTAGTCATTGTCTAAGTATAGTGGATTAGCTAAAGTTGATTCTGCTATATTTGCAAAGAAATAATTTAGTTTATCTGGTGGTATATCTATTTTGTCGACAGCTTTATTTCTATGAGTATTAATTAAGGACCATGCACTTTTTTGTAAATTATTAGATTTTATTAATAAATCACTATTATATTTTATTTGTTCATCATGTATGGTTTTTAAATAAGTTTTTTTAAAAGAACAATATTCTTTTTTTATAAGATTATTATGTTTGCAGATATCGTGTAAAAAATGTAGGTATTCTCTCTATTGGCATTATCACTGTACTTTATTACAGGTTTAGATTTTTTAGTTACATATTTCTCTGGGAAAGATGCATTGTAACAATGTGATATGTTTTCAGTGATTTGCATAGATAAGTTATTGGCATTTTTACTTACAAAATAATTTGACCAATCCACATTTGACAAAGAATTTTTAAAGGTTATGATATTGTTTTCATTTTCCATTCTTAGACAAGTTTTTTCTTTATTTTCATAAAGTTTCTTATCTGTTATGTAATTAATTGAAATCGCTCTGTGATCCGAAAGGTTGGGTTCAGAAACCAAAATTTTACAGGTATTTAGGTTTAAATTTGTAAAAGCATTATCAATCCTTGTTGCAGAGGTTTTAGTGACCCTAGTGAAATCATTAACACCCTCCAACAAACCAAAAGCCAGAAAGTTATTTGTCAGAAGTCTAGATAATGAAGTACTCATAGCAAAATCTACGATAAAATCACCTAATAGTATTGTATTAGGTGATTGCTAAAGACAAACCAAAAATCGTCAAAGGGGTTTCTAGGCATGCGGAATCCAAATTTCATCACGAAAACGTTAGACAAAAAAAAATACGAAAATATCAAGCATTCTGAACAAAATATTGATTGTGGCAATGTCTTTAGAAATATATATTTGAATAGGAATAATGTGAATAATTTTCAAAAAATTTATAATTATATCAATAATACATGTAAATATAAACCGATATAAACTTAAAATATGTAAATATACTTGTATGAAATGCTTCAGAGTTTTGCAAATACATCTAAGGGTTTCATAAACTATTTATAGCTTCCTCTTTTGATAATCTTACAGTTAAAACTGTTCAAACTTGGTACAATTTGCCAAATGAATTTCTTTTTTTCAGATGATGAGTATGCTCTTATATGCACAATTTTGAAATATCTAAAAGTTTGATAATTTTGTACATACAACATTTAAACATTTATTGATTAATTTGTATACTTATAATGGAACCATCTACAAAATTAAAAGAACCAGCAGCCGTGACCTATGCTGTTTTGTAAAATAAGTTATATCTTACAAGAAGAAATTAAATAAGTCTAAAAATTATGTTACTTAGGTGGAAAAACCAGTGAATCAAAAGAAACTTTTGAGCATTAAAGAATATTTTAAAGGAAACAATAATTTGCAAAAAAAAATCTTTATTGACAAATGATCACATCTGTACATCTTAACTAATGCTAAAACAAAAACATTTTTTTGAAGTTCTTTACACTTTTACTTCTTAAATACCTATGTAAATATTGTATGAACATATTTAAAATACATCAACCACAATAATTTAATTCAAAATAAAAAACAAAATACTGGCATTAAGAATAACAGTTATTTAGTTAAAACTGAGTAGTATATATAAAAAAATTTAGGTTTTAGTCACATACAATTGATTCAAAATTAGGAACTCACAACATACTGTTCTTAAATAGAAATATAATTAGTGTTTTTACCTATAGTTATGTAATATGATTAGTCTTTAAATTTTAAATAATGCCCATCAATTTCATAAAATTATAAGTGCTTTTGATATCCAACTTCAACACATATTCTTATTTGTATTGAATTTATTTCTATGGTAGAAGATGTCTCAGAAATATTGTAAAAAATACACTCCAAACATTTTATAAACAGTGTATTTTCATATTTGTATTATTTACATTTAGTTATCCTTCCTGTATCAATTTTTGATAAAATAATGTTAACAGATATAAAAGAAAAACCATAAGCGACATTGTAATAACATAAACCACATCTACAGGTATCTACTACTAGAGTATTACAGATATCTGTTGGTGTAACACACAAAAATGAATGCACCGCATTTTATGCTTTCTTTTCACAATCCGATTCGAAATATCTCCTTATAAAGCAGAGATTTACGTATTTTGCCACAAAATAACAAGTAATATCAATGCAATTCACAAAAAACCTAACTAAATATTTACCTGTCCACCGTTGAACACAGTTGGATAGTTAGATTGGGGTAGATCAGTATATGCAGTCAAAAAATACTAATTGATAAATACACAAGTTCATAACACAAATGACTATAAGTTCTACGTGCTATTCATTACAAAAGAATTTAATTTTAGTGAAATTTCACCATTTTCTAGATAAACAGGGACGCGCACAAAATAACAGAACATACGAAATGCACTTACTTTACTAGTATGAAGTTTGTCACTTTTACATCCTCTATGGCATTTATGGCCTTTGAATAACTAAGTCGAGTAGCCAACGATAACGGTTTTCTTGTAAATAATTATTTAAAAGTAGATTTTCTATTATTCCAAGTATACAAATAAAAAATATATGCTATTATCATTGATTTTTATATGTTTAAATTAAATTTTGAACAATATTTTTAAATCATCCACTGATGATGCATGGGTTATGTTGCATTTCGAGTATGTTCGGTAAAACGAATCAAGTTCGGGGCATAGCGATTTGACATTTGTCGGTTTATCATGCGGTCGAAAAAGAAAGGTTAGAAAATTATAATTTTTTGTTGACGTATGTGAACTCTGTTCGTTGGTAGAGTTTTTCTTTTCTCATTACCCTGAAAAGAGAATTGGTACTTTTTATTTTAAAAAAAAAATTGTATTTTATTTAATAAATTTTGATTATGCCAACAATAGGTATCAAGCGAGATTTGTTATTCAAATCTCTAGGAAAAACGTACAGTAAGTTTAGCAATAAGTTTCCTTATTTGACTTTAAACTCTTTTTTTTTCAAGCTGATGATGAATTTCAAAGCCTGTGTTTTGAATTCGGTCTCGAACTGGATGAAGTGGTAAGTTTTGATTATTTAGTATTCTAATTAAAATTACTATTTGTATTTTATTTGATTTTTAGACCACAGAAAAGCAGATGATTACTAAAGAACAAGGTGAAGATTCCCATTTAAACACTAGTGCTTCAGAAGATATTATTTATAGGATAGATATACCAGCTAACCGATATGATTTACTTTGCTTAGAAGGTTTGGTTCAGGGATTACTTGTGTTCTTAGGAAGGTTTGTAGTTTATAAAGCTTTTATTCATTTATTTAAAACACAAAGAAATTTCAGGATACCACCACCAAAATTTCATGCAATTAAACCTGCAGAAGGTGATACCCAAAAACTTGTTATTAAACCAGATACTGCCAAAATCCGACCTTATGCAGTAGCAGCTATTTTAAGAAATATAAAATTCGACCAGGATAAGTATACTAGTTTCATTGATTTACAAGACAAATTGCATCATAATATATGCCGAAAAAGATCATTGGTAGCAATTGGTACACATGATTATGATACTATCAAAGGACCATTTATTTATGATGCTAAATCACCAAAACATATACAATTTGTTCCTCTTAATCAGGAAAAAGAATTCAATGCTGAGGAATTAATGGAATTCTATTCAGTAAGTTTTAAATTTACCAAAATATATTTAACAATATTTTCATCTGATTGACATTAAAAACTCTTAGGTTAATAGGTTCTGAATCCAGCAATATTTTTGGTAGTTTTATTTTAATTGTTTAGGTGAAAAAATGAGTGAAAATAGAATTAGATTTATATAAAAAAAAACCTCTACTATAGGAGCTATATAAATGAAATAGGGTTGCAGGCAGAGTAATGTTTTTTTTCGAAAGACCATATTTTCTTTCTAAAAATTGATGCTTAAATAAGTTATAGTTACAGAAGAGCAACACTAATTAAAATTAATTATATATAATTGTTTTAGACCCACCCACAGTTAAAACAGTATCTCCCAATAATTAAGGACAGTCCTGTTTACCCTGTTATCACAGACAGCAATGGTGTTGTATTATCATTACCCCCAATAATCAATGGAAATCACTCCAAGATTACTTTGGCTACCAAAAATGTATTCATAGAATGTACAGCTACTGATTTAACTAAGGTAAAAACTTTGTTATCTGGATTTCAACAAATGACAATTTTTCAAAACAAAACTTAAAATTTTGTGGTTTTATATTATAATTAAAAATTTTACCAGACAGTTTTGTTTATTTTTTTAGGCAAAAGTTGTTCTTGATACCTTAGTATGTATGTTTAGCCAATATTGTTCTGAGAAACATACTGTAGAATACTGTGAAGTTGTAAATCCAGACGGTACTTCAGTATTGTATCCTGAATTAGAGTATAGGAGTGAAGTTGTATCTGTTAAAAAAACAAATAAAAAAATTGGGATAAAGTAAGTAGATCGAGACTAAAACAAAAACTTAAACATATTTTTTCTTTAAAACCTACTAATTATTATTATACTTAAGTGGCCAATATTTTAATCATAGGTCCAGGGCCTCAAATTAGAAATAATTTAAATGAAAAGAAAAAAACTTAGTACCTGTCACTGCCTTTTGAGTTTTTCTTTTTTTCATTTACATCTCGGTTACATTTGAGTTTGCTATTATTTTCCTATATTAATACATATTAAATAATGTGACAAATTTTATCTACTATCTATAGTTTAGAGAAGAAAGGTGTGCAGTAATTTAATTTACTGAATGTAGTACAGGTTCAAGAGGTAGACATTTTATTTATATATCATCCTTCAATGCTTATTTGTAATTAAAATGAAAATTTTAATACATCTGATCGGCCTAATAAAAGTTTGCGTGGTTTTTACTGTAATAAACCTTTTCTTTTGACAGATAAGTCAGACTTTATTTATTAATAGCCCTATCGTATGTATTTTAATTGATTCGGGATTTTGAATGAGTATATATTATAATTTTACAGTTATATAACAATGGTGAGTGCACTAGAAAATATTGCAAGCACAAGTACGAGTAAATGACCTAGTAAACCTAGACATAAAGCATTATGTTTAGCAAAAAAAAATATACTTAATGTATTTAGTAATCTTCGAAAAGATTTTGTTTCACTTTCTGTGGATGAAATAGCCACTAAATGTAAGACCTATACTGGAGTATCTAACCGGACAGTATATAACATTATTAAAGAAGATACAGTTATTGGAGAAGTCTCACATCCGAAACTTGGGTAAAGAATGTAATAAGGCAAATGGTACATTTTTTTTCATTCGATGAAATTCCAGCACTTAAAAAATTGCACTACAAATATATCATATTTTCATATACAAAAAAATATTACATGAATTAAATTTTTGTTACAAAAAACGTGACAAACATCTTTTTAACAGAGAAAGACGAAATAATTTCGTGGAGATATGATTATTTAAGGAAAATAGCGGACGCAAGGAATCAGCATAAACAGGTATTTTGTTTAAATGAAGCATGGGTTAATGCTGGACAACAAAAATTTGGAAAGATACCTCCATCAAAATTAACAAACAAGCCTTTATGGAAGGGGTCTCTTGTATATTAAAAATCTAACAGGAAAAAGAAATCGTTTAATAGCAACCTACATTGAAAGCACCGATAAATTTTTGCCAGATGGTTTATTTATGTTCTAGTCAAAGAAAATAAAAGACTACCATGAAGAAATTGAAAATTGGTTTCAGAACATTATAAAAAAAATCCAGCCAGCTCCGTTATTGTTTTGGTTAATTCATCCTATCACAACAAGACAAGAAGACATTTTAAAATGGCTTCATTCTAAAAATATCCTTAAAAGCAGAATTGCTTGTAATAGCAAGACAACATCAAAACAAATTCAAAAAATATATTATAGATGAGATGGCTAGAGAAAAAAAAAATTAAATTCTCAGATTGCCTCCTTACCACACAGAGTAAAATCTCATTGAACTTATGTGGTCACAATTAAAAGGTTATGTTTCTCGAAACAATACAACATTTAAATCACCCGATGTGCGAAAATTTGTTTTTGAAGGCAGTTTCAGGTGTAAATGGAGAACATTGGAGAAAATGCATTGATCATATTAAAAAAGGTGGAAAATTTATTTTGGAAAGTGGATATACCAATGGAAAACTTAATAGGCCCTATAATAATAAACCTCAGACAATGATAATGATACCAGTAGTTATAGTGACTTTTAAAGATAGTTTTTGAATTTTTTTTTTTATCTTTCATTTTAGGTACTGAAGTGTTACTCTTAATGCCAAGAGATTAAAAAAAAGTTTAATCCCATTAACAACATATTAGCCTCCTTGTTATTTATTGGTTAAATTTAATTCGTTCAATGTTGAAGTGCAACAATTTTGTCAGAAGCATAAGGTTTTATTTATTTTTCATAAATAGTATAACTTTTTTTCATTCAAAATTTAATCTATGAAGTGCGTATATATGCAGTCACCTTATTTATATTATAGAAACTTATTTTGCAAAGTATACGCCCATGGAATGTGACGTTATTACCCACTTTTACTGCACTTCTATTTTATTCGGTCTATAAATGTGGCTACAATATACATTATCAAGTTCTATGTATATTACAAAAAATTAATAAAATATAGAAAGAAGGGCCCAACCCGTACAGGGTGAGTCACTAAAATCGAAACACATTGAATTTGAAAACAAAACGCAAATTTTGGATATATTTATTGAAAAGGTAATTTTATGGGGAATTCAGCAATATGACTGTTTATTGTGTTACTTTTGATTTTGGCGCCTTTTAGAGGATTAGTAAACTATTACCTATTGTAAAAACCCTAAGATTTATCAAGTGATTATCATCTCTTTCCTGCGGCGGGAGAGTTCTTTGACACGGGTATATGAAATATGTTACACTACATGCAAAAATACATCGTTCGCAATGGGTATTATGTAGAATAATAGTAGAATGTTCAAGCTTGCAATGTATAATTCATTGCAAATAAACATGTTTTTTTTGTGAAAAAAAAAAAAAAATTTGAAGACCTTATTTTACAGACAACCCTCATATAAGCTAGGAAGAAAATATTTGTTGATGCTATTCGCTCCGTGCGTGACAGTAGCGCCAATTATTTTTTGTACTAATGGTCTATTTTTGCCTATACTGACAATACAATTTTCAATAGAATTCGTAATTAAAAAGTATATATGTTAGTTTCAATAAAAGTATATGGATTTGTAAAACAAGTAAAACATTAATTTATTATATATTTTTATCGCTTAAACTAAAAAAAATAAGTATATTCAATAAAAATCAATAATAAAATAAAGGCAGGCAACATTATTTACGGGAAAATGTATGAATATAAAAAAATATCTTTAAATAATAGCGTGAAGTTAAAATGTATAAACAGAAGGATTGTTTTTTTTTGTGTCATCGGCATCATCTGCTAAGGTTATTCGCCTCGTGTTCTGTGTAGGCTTTGTTACTGTTTCCCAGCGCCACCTTAGGCCTTGGTTTCTTTGAACACTCCGTCGCGGTGAGCGGACAGTCCGTCGACCGCTGAGGACAGCAATTTTCGCCCGAGGTGGTTTGTTAAAAAATATAGAAAATGATACTTTCTCTATGTCTGTACGTGCTGTTTATGTATTATGAATGTAAACGAAAGGTACTAAAATGGATGCAAATAAATTGTTTGCGTTGTTATTATTGTTGGAAGAGGAAGAACAAGAGGAACTGGCAATTGCAACCGTCAAAGTTTTCAATAAGCCAGTGGATGAGTTGTTTTTGTGTCGCGATACAGAAGGTGCCTTTAATATAACTGTGCAGCGGAGGCTTTTTGGAAATGAAATCAAATTTAGGGAGTATTTTAGACTTTCTACAGATCTTTTTGAATTCGTGTTGAGTTTTATAAAGGACATAATTTCCAAGAAACCTAAAAATAAAGTCATGATGTCATCTGTATGTGTGAATTTGTCACTCATTGTTTTAAAATTAATAACAATATAGTCTCCGCACACGCCGACGATTCCGCTGATATCAAACTCAACAGATATCAACCGACTCTTCGCGACAAATCAGCGGCATGACGCCGTCCTGCTCCGCTAAGCGGATTCAAGAAAACCATTCCCATTTAAATACTCTGGTTAGATAAAATCGTCAAAACGCGACGGTTGACGGACTGTCCGCTCACCGCGACGAAGTGTTCAAAGAAACCAAGGCTTTAGGAACATCACTGTTAATTAGAACCCAACAGTGAATGGATTGGTATTTATATTTTCATTTTTGTTCGAAAGAAAACAGAATGAATGATTAAAACTGGTTTCCTATCAGTAAGTCACAAAATTGCATTACAGCCACATACAATAATCAAAGGCAGAAATCTAGTTCTTGTCCAACATTAAAGATTAAAGGGATGTTGAAGAACATCGTGAAATGATATTTATTGTTTATTTAAAACCTTTCAAGTTTCAAAAATAAAGGTAATTTTTCTTCTTATTGTACATCTATCCATTTATTTCTTTGATTTAATTTTCACTTTGCTACTAATTTTTTTTATAATTTATTGTTTTTTTACCAGTATTTTACAATTTTCAACACAGCAACTCAGATTGCTTATTGTATTGTTTTTACCTACTTTTTGAAAAAAAAGTAAAATGTATACGTGTATTTGATATGCCAAAATTACAAAATATCGCCCTAAAATGCACGAATTATCCGCAGCTAGCGCTAGTATCGCTTTTGCTACCCCTACCATGACTTCGCACTGAGCGAATAGCACACACCTAGCGCTTATTTTTCATTATTTAATTTATTATTAAGTGACTAACTGTCAACTATAAAATGTATATGTAAATCTTAAATAAATAAAAAAATGTTTTTCATTTGATATAATAGCTATTCCTGCTGATAATTTACCAAAATTAATCTCTTTTATTCAAATAAACTAACACGGAACTAAATAAAGATAATATATTTTAGTGAATCACCTGACAATATGGTACAACTCCTCTCAAAGATGTGCCTTACTTCTGAACTGACAAATAACACCGATAATATTAAAGTAACGATACCTCCCACAAGACATGACGTGTTACATGCTTGCGATATTTATGAAGATGTAGCTATAGCATTTGGTTACAACAACATAAAAAGAACTTTCCCCAAAACGAATACCGTAGCTCAGCAGTTTCCTGTAAACAAACTAACGGATTTATTAAGGTATCCAATTGCCGAAGCTGGGTTTACTGAGGCGTTGACTTTTGCATTGGTGAGTTTTTGATAATGATTATAGTAATGCAGTCATACTAAAAAGAACTTTTTTTGTGGAGATATTAGATGTATATTTTTTGTTATCTGAATCATTTTTTTTTTTAGATAATTATGAAAATGTAAATAATTTTTTTATGCATTAGGAAATGTGAAAATGAAAACCCCAGTTCTCCCTAATTAAGATATCCATCCTCACAACCCCAAAGTAAAAGCAAAACAAAAAAATAAAAAGCTGATAGGATAAAAAAAAGAGCATTGAGGGAGCAGGGCAGGGGTAGATTAATAAAATTGGTATAGGCACCAAACCATAAACCCAGGTTCGATCTCTGGTCAGGGCATGCATTTTTTGTATCTTCTCTGATTTAATTTTTTTTGTTTGTTATTACTTTGGAGTTGTTGACATGGATTACTTAATTTCGTAGGGGAAATCGAGGTTTTCATTTTCACACTTCCAATTACATACTTTAGTTTTTGAATCTTTAACTGATATATTCTCTCATGCGAATTCTTAAATAAATATAAATGTGGAAATCGTTTTGGTCAATCGTCAAGAATAGTTTAAGTTTGAAAAAAATGCAAATTGCAAACATCCAAATCCTTTACTTCAAGCCCTAAGGGCATTTAGTTATTACAAAAGGTTAACAAAAACACATAATACTAACTTATAAAAATTGTTCATGATTATTTACATATATAGGCAAGTCATAATTTGATTTTCGTGCATGTCATTATCTATAATCCCTCTGTACTTTTCTTTAATGAAACTGATTTACTTTTTAGTGTTCAAGAGATGATATATCTATAAAACTGGGCATTGACTCAATTGAAAAAATTCCTGCTGTACACATATCAAACCCAAAAACATTAGAATTTCAAGTGTGTCGTACAACTCTACTACCAGGCATTCTTAAAACCATAGCTGCCAACAAAAAAATGCCCTTGCCCATGAAAATATTTGAAATATCTGATGTCGTACTGAAGGACGCTGAAGCTGGTAACTAATATGTTTAAGACTTTGTGTAATACAACTAGCCAGAAGTGTCTGGCATGAAATAGATACGCAAAGACATTAGAGGAATAGCTCACTTCTTCAACAAGGATATCGATCTTTCTCTGGTTGTTCTCTTTTCTTCTCGTAGGCATCGTGGGTGCCAATTCTCGCTGGTCGTATTGAATGTAGCTATAAATACGTAGCTTAAAAAATAGCATATTTATTCCATTTGTTGGTATTTTTTACGACAATATTAATATATTTTTTCTTTTATTATAGAAGTTGGTGCCAGAAACGAAAGAAGAATTTGTGCAGTTAACTGTAATAGAAATGCTGGTTTTGAAGTTGTCCATGGTCTTCTTGACAAGATTATGTTGCTTCTTGAAGTTTCCTGGTCTCGCAAGAAGAATTCTGTTGGATATTATTTACAAGCTACCAACGGTAATTTTTGTATTTATCCATTTAATTTATTTAGGTGTTGCTTTAGTCACAAGTAAATTTATGGGAAAGCTTGTATCTGTTTAGTTTTTAGTTTCTATTTTTTTTAGATCCTACTTATTTCCCTGGACGATGCGCTAACATAATATGTCATGGAACGCCCATTGGAAAAATTGGAGTTTTACATCCAAACGTTTTGGCCAAATTTGAACTAACCAATCCTTGTTCTGCTGTAGAATTAAACATTCAGCCATTTGTTTAAAACTTTTACCCAAACTTGTTACTTAACTTATTAGTTTATTCAATTTACTTATGGTTTGCTTTTTAAAAACAATTTTGTACATGATTTAAATATAGCAAGATTATATATATTAAATTTTCCAAAGAGTGTTTTCTTTATACTCCAAAAACATCGCAAAATGGTAAGGACCAATTTACCAGAATTAAAAAGTATCTAAGCTATGTAATAGGTAATTTCCATTAGTGTGAATGTAATTTCCAAAAAGTATCATGTATTTATTTATTACACATTATAGCATGGAGTTCCGTTATCACTACATATATAAAATATAAAAAAATACTGAGTGTAAGAATTAAAAATATTAAGGAGTTGGATCGTTGGTATTTAGTCGAAGCATCTATACTGGATCAGGCACCTACTTGTCAACTGAGTGACGACGAAGGCATTTATTAAAATGCCTTATTTATTAGCCATAAGAGTCATATTTGTTATGTTAGGATTATGTATTAAGTTCCTAAGGCGATGTGGCCTGAAAAGAGAGGCACTTTTAGTTCGGCTGTCTGAACAGAATGTTAATTTTACTTGTTTGTGTTTAATTTTGGAAATAGTCCAGCTAGCACATAACGTTGCCAAGCTTTTCGGCGATGTTGTTTTAAGGGAACGTAATAACATTACTATACAACGTAAATGCAACGTTCATGAGAAGTTGTTGAGGGAAATCAAAACTTCTATTTGTTACTTACGTATTTAACACTTCGAAGAACGTTAATAAAACTGTTAGAATGTATTAGCTTTTGTAACATAGGTTAGGGATTGGGGATGTAGGCGAAAATAAGCGTAAACACTTATTTTCTTCCGTAAGTAAGGGGGGATGTAATAATTTAAAAATTCATTCCTATTTTTAATAACCAATCAATCCTTCTCTTAAAGTTCCCCGATTTTTAAATTATTATTCTCTGAAATTCCCGCGATTTGCAAATAATTATCGATTTTATTTTAAATTTCCTATTGCTGTAAATTCATCGCGTCCCCACTAACAATCTCGCCGCTTGAGATCGGCGCGAGAGCTGAAGAACGTGGGCCAGTCGAAAATAGCGGACGAGCATTTAATATTAAGCTCTCGTGACTAGTTGTTTTGAGACCGAACTGCGATACCGCGTCAATTCCGTTAGAATTTCAAAATCTTTTGTTTTTCCGTTGTACGCCATTCCGATAGGTAATTAGATTATACCTGTAGTTTCATTCAGCCGAGTATCCCGAAAACCGTGTGAAACCAGCAGGAATCCGTTAAATTCCCGGGTTATTTATATTTTCTTTATATTCAATTTTTTTTATTTGCAACCTTATCAGTATTTTGGAAGCAAATCCGGATTTTGTCTGCTAATTTTACAATAACGTGGAGAGTCGTATAAAATAATTTAATTCATTTCAATTAATTATTAACTCGGATTATTTTTATTTAATAAATAGAATTTGATTTGTTTTAAGAAATATTAATACTGATTAAACCGTTAAACTAAAACTTGTAAATATTAGTTTCGAATAGTTATACCGGGGTTGTACAAAATTTAGTTTCCGTTAATTTTATAAATGTTAGTTTGAAAAATATTTATACCAGGTGGGTGATTAACTTAGAAATGGTTTGAACGTCTTCGAATATTTTGTTTAAAATTAATTATACCGGGTTGCCCAGAAATTAATTAATCCTAGTTTTAAATTTTAACTTTTGAATTCTTTCAAATGGAGTAACATGAATTTCTTGAACATTCATTAAGTAACTAATTGATTTGATTCCCGACCCTTTACTTTTCCTGTTAGGTCGTGTTAGGGTTCCTAAGTATTTCTTTTGTACATTCCTTATAAAATTCCCCGAATTAGAGTATCGTTCGAGTTGTTATTGAAGACAGTGACTACTCCAGCAGTAGAATGGGCTAATTTGATAAAACCAACTCAGATGATGTGTTCCGGATTTGCTATTGAACAGAAGTAAAACTTAGCTACCTTCCCTGCCGTTTAGTACAAGTCTGTATTCCTCTCGTAAATTTCTTTAGCTCCGCGATTAACGTTCTTTTGGTTTATTTAATTCTGATCCCTGTCCCCGCACCGAATGTCCGCCCAGCAGAATGTCGACAGCCCACTAAATTGTAGCCGCGTTCATATATCTAGGTAATATTCACCACGTTCGGCCCGTAAGGATGCCTCCCATGTCTGGAAAGCCAAATATGGATCATTTGCGGTTTCTACTTCTAAATTACGTCAAATGGTACGGTTCTCCCGGCTCAGAAGAAACCCCGACAATGGAAATCCGAGTACTCGGCTTCCCGTACATGCCGGTATCAGGCCGATCGAATGCCGACTATTTGTGGTTTACTATGAGAATTGTAAGTCGATGTATAGTGACTATCCCGCGTGGCAGAATGGACTGATTCGGCTTCGCTCCCAGAGTCTGGTTGATACGAGGTTACATAGCAGGGGTTGCGTCGCCAGGATATTAATCTTGTGGTCCGTTAGGCTGTACTTAGCTAGATTTGCAATTTCTCTGTTGCACATTACTTCCGCTCCTGTCCACTCCCCGCCGTGTCTCTATATTTCCCGTTTTAGGAATAATAACTGAATAGTCAAAAGTTCTAAGACGCTCAGAGGAGAAATTCATGAGATTCCGAAAGTTCGCCCTGCCGAAGACCGTAGACTTGCTACAACGCCGCATAGTACTTCTGGTTTGACCGCCGTTTTCCCGACACCGTTTTAGTCATAAGCGCCCTCATTTGTCCGATTGAGTTTTTATTTTAGTTTGCCCATTAACTTCATTACGATTTTTTTTATTTTGTTCAGGGTTAGATCCAATAACTTGGGGAGGGCTTGTAAATACAATTATTTAGCTTCATCGAATATTAACCGAAACGATTGTAAATACTGAGCAATATATGTGTCAAACTGAAACCTGGCATTTCATTCCCTTGTCGTAAATCTCTCTTTTCAAGTACTATATAACTAGTATAATATTGCGTTGACGTTGGAATTTTCTTTCTTCACTGCAGCTACCTGCAGCCCTTCTTGGAACTTGTTCCAGCAGGTAAAGTGGAGCAAACCACTCTAAAACAAACTGGCGCCCGAGCACACTCAGTTCGAACGTCACACGTGAGAGTATTTCTAACCAGTTGAGAAAACCTCTCACAATATATAAACAAATATTCATTTATCTGTAGAAAGTATTCCGGAACACATCAATAACAGAAACTCAAACACAAATAGCCCAAAGACACTTTGGCGGCTATAATCGCGTACGCAATAAAATAATCAATAGTCCACAATAATAAGCTTGAGCCATAGACATTTTTGGCTTGGGCTTGAAGTCAAACATCACTTCATTTGATTCTTCTTGTTAAATTTGAATTATGTAATCCGTGCAAGTTTTCGTCCGACTGAAAGACGTCTTTGAGCTTTTACATTAATATATGGATTTGGCAAGACGTCTTATGAACGTATTTGAGCTGTCTTATAAGAAGACTTAATGTCCTAGGACATTGAGACCAAACCAAGATACAAAAAGACGTCTTTCAGATATCGTGGGCTATCTGGGGGGAAGTGAATTTTGTAAAACTTAACTGAAACTTTAAAATAAACCAAAAACCAGACATAAAAAAATAAGTCACGCGCATGCCTTCTCAAGCACTATTGAGAGAAAAAATAGCCTACCGATATTGATGGAGGGTTTAATATTTCTTGTAGGTGGGCACTTATCGTCGAATGAGCACAACGAAAATGTGAAGAAAATAAGTGAAGTTTTTGAAAGGGACGTCGTACTACTTGTAATGCCTACAGCTACCTAAGTGCCCTAGTCTGAACGTCGCGCTTTCGTGAATTCGTTGGACAAGTATCAGTACAATTTAATAATATATTCAGCCATAATAAATCTGCACGTTGGTTCTGGGACTTTTTTTTTTTTTTTGTTAAAATTATTTACTTCTGTCGCCGATCATAAACAAGACAAGAAGGGTCACTTGGCGTCAATACTTTGCTGTGTGGCCGACAGAAGCGAGCCTCCGTATTCGGAGTGATAAGTCTCCACCTGCCGTCTCGTCTATAAACTTTGTTGGGCGACGTCCAAGTTACTTCTCGAGCGACTCATACGGGGGTTAATAGAAATTAATTGTAGTATCGATAGAATTTAATTTTTTATTAAACTGTTCAACATAACTTTTTCTTTTTGTTAAAATAAGTCTATGGGTCCTATGATTGAACGTTTACGTTATCCGTAACGTACATGTTAGGCCAAGTTTTAACAGTAACGAGGCAAGTTCGTCTGATGGAAAACTTTTTCCAACATATTACTGTTATTTTCCGCCTGTTTGTTCTAATTTAACAGTTTTCCATTATTCGAACTTGCCTCGTTACTGTTAAAACTCGGCCTAACATGTACGTTACGGATAACGTAAACTTTCAATCATAGGACCCAATGGGTACTATTGCACATTCCAACGAGAAATCCCATTAGTCGTAGCACTCCTTGTATTAAATTTTCAAACGTTAAACTATGCTTTCCTTGAGAAACCCCATAAGTCGCTGACTAATGGTGTTTCTCTAATACATGCGGCATACGAGCTAATACAATCAGCTATCGCAGAGATTGACCGAAATTATGTTGGAAATACCTGTGCGATCCGTATGGATGGAAGGATTAATGCTTGGGTGAAAACATACTTTTATTTTAAAACACTATTGAAACTATGTTAATTTTATTACTTGGTGCATTTACATACTACATATTTTTTACACTATATAGACTTTCTTCGGAAATTTGTTACTTAAGCACTCAAGCCATCTTTTACACCGCAGAACGATGTGTTGTGTTTGAGAGGTGCTAAAGTTCTGCCGGGAGAGAAGTTGTTCAGCTAGATTGAGAGTGACGCTCGACGTTGATCAATCAGGAAGTGCCTAACGCCGGTGTTTTTAACCAATGAGGGCGAAGTGGACAAGAAGTGAATGATGCCTGTGATGTAGCTATTAGACGGAAGACCGTTCTTATCGGTCAAGGCAGTGCCGCAGACGTCTTCAAGAGTAAAAGGCTTTCAGTGACGTCTACAGGAATAATAAAGGATTGAGAATGAAAGCTTAGCGCAATGTTGAATTTAATTCAACAAGCAGTATCACAAAATAAAAAGATATCACTTAAAATAAGTCAGTATGTGCATTTTAAATTTTTTTTTGAAAATAAAGGAATTCTTGTGACAAAATCTTCTATAGATGGAGTGACTTGTGATACATTTCGGAATACAGCAACACAACCTTTGTCTCTTCCTGTTGGAAAATACCTATTAACAGATGAATGAAATTGTCAAACTAAAGCAGTACCTATCTTCCGGAATGAGAAGACGTATTTAAATTTTATAAAGATAACTATAACTGGCCAACTGTTAAAGATAAGGTTTTAGAAATTTTAAATTAAATAAAAATATTGATAAATAAACATATTATATTAAAATATGTAGTTTTATTGTCTGAATAAATTAAAATAATATCCGTATAATTGAGAAAACCCATGTCATGATTTTTAAAAAAAATATTTTGGACTCTTTAGAAAAAATACTATCAAATACCAATATCGCAATTTTAGAAAAAAAAAAAACAATGCTTTGTCTCACACACAGACGATTTAAGAATTTTTTTATTTTATTTCCTAGTTTTACTTTTTTGACTTATGGTGTTTCTCAAATGACCGATTTAATTATCCTTATGCCATGGAATTATCCATTGTGCCATGGTGTTTACAAACATTCGAAATCATAAGAGTATGTAGTATATCGATTATGGTAGTGTAGAGGTGTCTATTGTCTGTGGCACCGCATTCATTTGAGAGCCAATTTTGTGGTAAAAGATCCGGTTTCGAATCCAACGGAAGACCATGTGAATGTATTTACATGGTTTTCTATAGGATTTGATGGATGCCGTATTAGCAAAAATTTAATTTCTGTTGATATGACATTCAGATTATAAAAATCGCCACGAGTTACCGTTTTCGATAAAGGTGGGTGGGGTTTTCCTCACGTGGTAATCAAATGGCACCATTATCTTTAATTCGCCCCGGAATATCACGGCATATAATAATAATAGCTGTCCCTTTCCCCGGCAAGCTCAGCAATAGCGTTAAAATTCACTCGTAAGGGGGGTAAATTAGGGAGTGCATTATCATTATTATATAAAAAAACAAAAAACTGCTATCTATCAAATGTTTTATTAACTGTACATTGTATTTTAGAGCCTAAGATTAAAAATTCCAGGTATAAATATTCAGTTCAAAGTTTGGACTCCCAGTAAAAAATATTTACTCATATCACAATACAAAAGTGCCAAAATTTTTCTCCAAAATAAATGTCGGATAAGCGGTTTCAGTCTATTACAGTATTTTTCGTCTGTTACAATTATTGTTTTACAGAAAATATCGGTTTTATTATTGACTGAAGATAGGGTTAATAGCAAAATGGCACAAGTCAATAATAGTACATCATAAAAAACTAGAATATTAAATAATGATACTATAAATATTCAGACAAACAGTACGTTCTTTTTTAACTCATGTACTTTTGAAATAAGTGAATAAATGCATAGTTTGACCTGGACATACAACCCTGTCAATTAAAATAATCTCCTGTACCATTTATAGATAATTTAAAATAGTACTATTAATTTTATAACTAATATTTTTTAAGACCAGTGATATTAAATACATGAGTCAAAAATAAACGTATCATTAGAGTCCGTGAAATAAAAATGATGCCCTACACTATTGTCTTTTAAAAATTAATCAATCTTTTTCCTAACGCTCTTATGAAAATATAGTTGGTCTATACAAATCTTTATCTTAGTGGTAATTATGTCACACGTCGGTAAAAATATTCAGGGTCTCAACAAGAAAATAATAAAAATAGGGTTGTCTCTACAAGATAATAATAAAAATTGAAAAGCAGAACTATAATTTCTTAAATGAATAAATAAAGTATTTAATTGTATCGTACAGAAAATAATGTTTAAGCATAAAAAAGTAAACAAAATAAGAATTAAGTGAACAAAATTTCACTCTTATAATAGGACCCTTTCTATGTTCTATTTAAATTATTCAATCCATTTAAATTATAACATTTGTAACGATGTACCATTGGGAATTCAACTAAAATAAATTATTATAATATTGTGTTGTTCAGATTTAACAAAGAGTACAAAAAAATCTAATTTCGACAATTTTAAAACTGTTACTTCGCTTGTGACGTCACTGGTTTAAAAGCATGGAATGCAAATCAAATAACTGACCATGGAAGAATAATAACTGCTGGCGCCGCTAAAAGTTGAAACACAAATACTTAGACTATGAAAGAGAAGAAACTTGTATTTCAGACCGACGCAGATGATTGCCTTTCAAATATTGATCAACTATTTATTTGGTGCCAGAGAAACCGTGGGGTTATTTGTATATATTTGAGCTTTTTTTGCGAAATGTTGACAGCGTTAATATTAAGTAATTACAATGGTTGTGTGTTCAGCTTATGGCCGAAAAAGCCGAAAAAAAATGGAAGAATGATTTATTTATATTTCGCAGGTAAAATATAATAGGCAAATAAATACTTTTTAAACTGGTTAATATTTCAAATGAATCTTACTAAGTTTGATAATCTAAAGAATTTATCAAAATTTTAAAGTAAACAATTGATATTTTCATTCATTAAAACCTACAAATTGAGGAATAATGTTATCCAATAACATTTAGTGTCGTTACACATGTCTAATTTTAATATACATTAAGAATGGGACATGAAAAAACTAAAGATTCTCTGAATTAAAATAAGACGAATAAATGAAACATGCTTGAATAAAATGTTAATCGTACGAAATACAGGGCGTCGAAGTTTGAACATTCATTAGTTAATGGCTATAATTGTTTTAATTAGTCAATATAATTTTACTAAATTCGGCAATGTTTTAGGTGACAAAATACATCTATCAGCAAAAATAACAGTTTAATAAATTATGCCAGTGACGTACCGTATGGGTAAGTAATTCCTTTTCCTCTTCCAAATTTTATGCCTCTTCCCAAAACTTATATAATTTTAAATAGTTTTTGGACAGAGGCGTAAAGACATTGTTTATTTAATTAATGGTTACGCCACTGTCTAAAGCTTAGACAGAGAAATTTATTTTGTCTGCATTTAACATATCTGGTGCAAAATGGTCGCATATTATAAAGGGTGTTCTGTAATGATGTTCCAACATTATAACAGGGTATTCTACCATCCATTTAAGAGGTAATTTTTCTCATAAAATTTTGCAATTTGTCTGTGTCAAGATACTCGTATTTAGGTCTTGAAATGACGAAAAAAACATTTTTTTAACGATTAGACACAAAAATTTATATTTAAAAAAAGCTGTAATACATTTTACGAAAATATATTTACACGTAAGATCATTAAGTTTTTTTTACAGTATTTTTCCTATTTTAAATTTCTTTGGAGCTATCATAAATCGGTACAAAAATATGTATAAATATATTTTAAATTGTGCGTTTTGGGAAGACTAAGAACATAAATGTAAGCATACATTTTTTTTGACTAAGTATAAACAAAATGAAGAACCCCATACAAATGGATTATGATTTATTTTATGTCAGTATGTATTTATATTCACACAAACTTTACAAGATCTTTGTTTTCCTTTTTAACCTTCAAAAAAAAAAAAAATTGTGTAATATTCCTTCATTTTTTACTACTGTCACTAATAAATGCAACGATAATAAAATATTTGAGAAAAATAGCGGGGAAATCTAAATGGGACAGTCTGAAATGAAGATATAAGAAAACTTAACTAAACGGGAGCCAATGACAAATTTTTTGGAAGTAAATTTTTAATACCAAATTTCCTTTCTTCGACCTTTTCTTTTTTGCTTTTTTAGGTAATTACTTGGGAATAAAGTTTTGTAATTAAAATTCAAAAATTATTTATATTCTCAAAGCTTTCGGCCCCAAATTGGACGAATACCTTTTTTAGTTTGTTTGAGTCAATGTTTTATATTTCCCTTTCCTAGTGTTATTGATTTATCCAATTGGAATACCTTCTTCTTCCTTGAAAGAACCTTTACAATCCTTTCTGTGCTTCAAGATCCGGCTCGAAGGACCAATGTTTGAGACGATATTTTATATTTCCCTTTCCTAGTGGACTGTATGTGTTATACCAAGTTGGAATATTACACCGCTTTTTTACTTTCTATAATGGTCAAACATGAAGGACAATAATTGGATTGTCTATTTTGATCGATTAACGGATTTCAATTCTATTTTATTTTGTTTCGTTTCCCTAGTATTCTTGCCAATTCATGTTAATAGGATAATAATCGCAAATAATGTTCAAAATATAAATTGTATCAAAAGGTAGGTTTTGTAGTGCTCTGCAACACGATTGTTTTATTTTTATTAATTTAAAATAATTTGTTTTTATCCCCATTTACAGTTACATTATTTTTCCTTTCACAATCATTTATATAAAAAATTGGTTTCGTGTTTACATGAATCTCAGAATTTTTTTGGTTTTTCCTAATTTTAGGATCGAAAAAAAAAAAACATTTAAAAACAAAAATTATAAAAACAAAACCTTATTCTCAGGAAATCATCTCAAAAATAAACAAACTGGTAAGAATAAAACGACACCTCAAGAAAAAAATGGAAATGGAAAAATCAAGAAAAAAGATCATGACTGACCAGATTGAAGAGAACGGAATTGAAAAGGGGAAAACTTTGATGGAGAAGCAGACACTAACCAGCGATAGAAAATAATTTAGTTTCTTGTTCATTTTGTTTCTTTGTTGCAAATGTTATTATTAAATATATTGAAGAACTTCACTAGCTGGCACAGTGAATTTGTGTTCAATAAAGAACTTTTCTTAATTTTATTAATATTAATAATTATAATCTGTTACGAATACTTTTTTGTTAAATTTTAGAAAATTCAACAAACACCATTTGTACTTAAATTGTATTTTTTATTATCATTAACTTTTAATTGGCCTTTAAACCAACAACTAAAACTGAATATTTTTACCGACGGAAAATGGATCAGTAATAAAAATAAATAGCAAATGATATGTTTGACATACTATGTACAAAAGTGAAAAAATATTTACATTTACAAAATAATTTGTTCACAACATTCTTCAGCGTACTTTCCTTTTAAGTATTTTCTTTTCTTTTTATTTCATTGTATAAAATAATACAAAAAAGAGTTTTATACAAAATATCTGTTATCGTATTTACACCTACTATCTACAGTTGGATGCTTGTAGAGCTGTCAATTGCACATTATCAATGCTTTAAAGCTTGAATTACTTTTTTCTGCATTGGGCTTTAGAAGCTACAGTTAAATTAGTTTTGCTCCTGGGTACAACGAGCAAACGACAAACCTTTTATTTTGAAAGTATTTTCTGCAGCGGAAATATATTCGAGTGTTTTGGAAATGATGTTCTGCAGATAAATTACTGTCAACTAATGTCAATTTTTTTTTTAGAAAATATATATTTCTTCATTAAATGTATAAATGTACTGCTTTGGAAGGCACACAGTGTTTCATCCAGAATTTTTTGAAAGGTTTAGTGGCATATCTGAAACAAACAAAAATTTGATATGCAGTTTTGTTTCAAATAATATTCTACAGGGTGTTTCGTAGTGAAATGTATAACTACTCTAGGTGTGGAATATTTACATGATTTTAAATTATCCATTATTTATTACTAGGCCCATGGTATCTGATTACCTACTTTAAAATTATTTTAATAATTTGTTAGAAAGAAATATCCGAGATCTATTAATGTTAACAATGTTAACAAATTAATTTTACTATTAAAATGGTTGCATCAATCAAAATAGTAATTAGATGTGTGACAAATTTATCAGCATATGAGGAAAGTAGATTCATATTCACACAAGGGTGGAAAGTAGATTTATCCACACGCATGTGGTATAGGGCACTTTCCATAAGACTAAATAGTGCGATACGTGTGACTTTCCTAAATGGGTTAAACGAGTGGGGGAACTGGGAGGAAACCAGAACTGTGTCGGAGACGGACTTGGATTATTAGCATCATAATGTAATTTTATAATGTAATATTTTACTAACAATATTTTCGACTAATCCCCGTAACTTCAATATTGTTATAAGATTAACGTTTGTACATTTCATTCTGAAATACCCTGTATAACCATTATATGTCAAAAATTTAAATACACATGTTCTTAACCTAACTACAGTATCTGTGAACAACTTTTAAACATATTTAGTGATAATTTAACCGTTTTTTGAAATCCTTACCGGTGACAGTTTCCTCTCGATGCTCGCCATCTCTATGAGGTTCTGCCGTCCAGGAGCAAGTGGGGGTTTCATTGGGTCTTATTGGTAAATGCACAGGTGAATTGTTATGATGATACATGGAAGGCACTACATATCCCCTACCATACACGCCCGTTCCATAATAAGGTGGTACTGGTGGAAATGGGTACATGTATCCATGCAAATATGACTGGGGGGAATACGGGGAGTAACCAGCACATTTTTCTACCTGCTAAAAAAAACAAAGTATATAGGTTTTACAAAGAAAGGTGATAAAATCGGTATTATATTTTCACATTTTCAAAATATAACCACACTACAATACAAGTGAAATATAAATATAGCATTGATGTCACATGGCCCAAGAATATAAGTTTTTTTTTAGTTACGTTTATTAAACAGTGTAGTGCATTAGTGATGTAAAAAACGAATCAAACAAAATTATTGTTTATACACTATATACTGTTTCTACAGCTTTGTAAAATGTACAATAATGAGCAAAGAGGACCTTTTTGCTTTTAATTAGACTGGGTAAATAATTTATAAATAGACAGAACAGTAGAGGAGCTAAATTACTACCTTGAGCAGCGCCACTTGTAGCTAAAAATTCTTTTAACTAGTACCCTCTGTATTCAACAAAGAGTATACGATTGGAAAGGTATGACTGGAAAAATTGTGACATATTTGCTTCAAAATCATATGAGTCTAGTTTTTTCAGAAGCATATTGTGATTAAGATTATCCAAGGCCTTCAAGAAATCAGTCTATATTATATCAAGCTGTAATTTATTATTGATAGTTTGGCAGGCATATTGAGTAAAGGAACATACATTTGTAGCAGTTGATCTTTTAGACATAAATCCATGTTGCTAGATATGGATAAAAAAAATGTAACTTAGGGTATATATTATAAATTGCTATCTCGAAAACCTTTGTAAAACTTGTAATAGAACATATGATACACTTGTTCCAAATGCTCGAAAATATATTAGATTTTAATGAAATATTGAAGATAATCCGTAGAGGTTCTTTAAAAACAAGTGCACAGTACCTGACTATGTAGCCGGGAATACCAGGGTTCAGGCTTTAATATTTTTAAGGCACTTAAATGACAATATATGTCAATGACAAAATAATTTATAGGATTGTTCTGAGATTGAAGGCTGTTTGTTTCATTATTAAGGTTACTGACCTTGTAGATACTATGAAAAAAGTTTGCCAAGGCATTTACAATATTTTGGGTAGAATTGTATTCCACATCATTAAGTCTAAGGACTCACGGTATCCTACTCTATATAAAAGACCAAAACTTTTCTGTATCTTTTAAGATTGAATCTTGTTTTTGATAAATATTGGTCATATCCATTTTTTTTTTCTGTTTAATGGATTTGGTTAAATATTTTAAAATTGTTTGTCAGTTTCTTAAATATAGTTTTTTAATTTTATTTTATTTATAGTATCTTGAGAAAACCATGGCTGGTAGATTCTAACAAAGTTTTAAAAGACTGGAACATATAAATCCAAAATTGAATAAACTAGAGCATAAAATTGTTCCAGAGCTTCTTTACATCACTAATTTGATTCAAAAAAAAAATGGTCAATTTGTCTTAGATAAATGAGAATATAAATGAGGAAAATTTGGCTTTCTAAAGTTGTACCTAACCTAAAATGTGGTTCGTTCACAAAATCATAGAATTTTCTAATCTAGAGATAATAAATATCCATAGATAAAATGTATTATCATGGATTTAAAATTTAATCTACTTTTATGCAACCCACTAATAGTGTTCAGTTTACTATTGATTTAATGTATTGTGTATGATATGTAAATTAGCCATATATTACTAAATAAAAAAGATATATATGTTGGAAAACTTTAAAGTGTCTCTTAAAAACCTTATACCAGTTAATTTAAAATCGCTTACCGACAGTTCTATCGAACGCAGTCTATCAACACTCTCCGAATACCATCGCTCCTCGGCCGACGGGGAACAGTACTGCGGATGCGCCAGGGGATAGTGACTAGGAGACGACGTAGGCGATCTCTTGACATTTCGGTCATCCGCTAGAAGCGACGTGATACTATAACTAGAATTTCTGAGGGGTTTCGTTTCTTCCACGCCGTTAGCTACGACCGGGCTGCCAGCGGTCGGAACTGCGGGCGGTGTAACAGAAACTGGTTGAGTCGTTTGGGACTTGTTACGGCTTCTTTTCTGGGAGTTATCGTCGCCTTGTGTTTTGTCTTTTTCCATTTCACGGAGAAAAACGTTTCCTGGGCGATACTACTGTTTCTGCTCTAGGTGGTGTACTGTAGATATTAAATAAATCATGATATAAACTTCTTGTCCTACTTATTAAAACAGAAAGGTTAGGACATGATGAAGGCTTTATACAGGGTATCTCCAAAAGGTTGGGACATAGCTTAACTATAGACTCCTGGGATAAAAATAAGATGATTTAACTCAACTTGCCTATATTCAAAATCGTACTGGTTAAGTTGGTAAAAGGCGTGAAAGTTACAAAAAATGCACCTAGAGAGTTTAACTTACAAGGTGTGATTTTTCTAACAGACACACAGGATGTGTTTTGATATAATATATTATATATTAATATATTATAACATATTATGTTCGTAATAACTCTAGGTTTAAAATAATCCAAAAGATGATGTTTATTGGTTTATGTTAATTAAAATATGTAATGAAACGTGTATCTTAGGCTGTTTATACCAGTCACCTACTTCAAGCTTTAATAACGTCTATGATGAATTTGAAGAATGGGCTGAGCAGTATTTTAATGAGAATTGTAAATATATCATAATTGGTGACTTTAATATTGATTACTTGAAAGAGTTCTGACAGATATGTAATTAGATTTAAAACTTTCAATAGAACGGTAAGTCTTCCAACTAGTAATGAACCTACCCAAATAACTGAAGATAGCAAAACATTAGTTGACTTTGAACTTTTAAATAAGGAAAAATATCATAAGGTCTGCCCATCATACTCCACGGATCGTTTTCAAATATCTTATGATTAGGAAATGTTTCTTAAAATCTGCACAATAAAATATATATTCTTTTAATCTTTCACACCTTATCCCAACTGAACTTGAAAAACGAACCCATAATTTTATGTTCTTCAACCCACCAGACAAAGAACCCATCACAATCAAAAACCTAGCACGAGTTGGTAAAGTTAACAAAAATGGTTTTCGGTCTTCAAAAAGGCAGCTATCTAACAGAGGTGAAGTCTTAAAAGTCTTGAATGGTAGAGCTAACTTAAAAACAACCAAAGTGGCAATGCAGATCTAACCAAAAAACAACAAGAAGATAAAAAATCTGCTCAACATGAATTACAAACTAGACGATCTAATGGGAAGGTGTGCATAAGATATGTAAATGGAAATCCTATAGTGATAAAAAAAAAACTAGGTGAACCTTGTAAAGATACTTCAAGTCGACCCACATCTAACAAAAAAGATACCAGTCTATTATCAAAATGTTCGCGGCATCCGTACAAAGTTGCAAATTCAGTTAGAAAATGTTACATCCTAGTGTGAGTATGATTTAATTGTCATGAGTGAAACATGGCTGACAAATGGCCACACTGTCTCGGAACTTAATATGATCGACTACAATATCTATAGAAAGGATCATACATACACAAGAAACTATTAATCATTCTAGAGGTGGTCGCGTTCTCATAGCAGTTCACAAAGATATCAACTCCAAAGTTATTAAATCAACTCAAAATTACGAATATCTCTTTGTACTATTGGGCCAAGCTAACACTCAGTATATTTTATATGTCTCTATTTTTATTCAAAATCACCTACAGCTGCATATATTTCGATGAGTGACGAAATCGATCAAATTTACGACCAATTTCCCAGTTCTCAACTTCGCATTCTTGGAGATTTTAATCTCCCTCATAGTGGCTGGTTAAATGACGACTTAAGTTCAATAGCTGCACCATCATTCAGGGCATCACCAACAGAAGCTAAACTTGTTTCAACACAACTCTAGCCATAATAATGTTAATTCAACTTTAGACTTATGTATCTGTAGATAGAGCGGACTTCATTGTACAAATAGACGGTTTTCATCCACCTTTAATGTTTAAGTTTTAATGACAATAACCAACCTGGTTTAATGCCTGAAGGTTTTAATAGAGATTTTAAATCGGCGGATACTGGGTAAATTTTAATATTTTTAAGCAGTTTTAATCAGGAAGAACTATTTTATAATCAAACTCTTGAAACCATGGTAGATAATCACTAAAAAAAATTGTAATACATTTCATAGATGGTATTCCACGGAACTAACTAACTAACTAACTAACTGAAAAAAGAGCACACAAAAAGTACAAAATAACTAATTCATTTCAAGATTATCAATAGTTTGCAAGACTTAGATCACTCTGTAAGAGACTGGTAAAAGAATCACATTACAATTATATTTCTCAACAGATTCATCTGTACCAGATAACTTAAAAAAACAGTTTTGGAAGTTTGTAAATGACAAAAGAAAAACCACAAACTTTCCTGGTGAATTAATATATAATGACAAAAGTTCTAGAGGCAATGAAATAGTTAATTTGTTTGCCAATTTTTTTTTTTTTTAAATTATATGTTCATATCGATTATGTTATTTGAAATATATAAATACATCTAATTGTGATATTAATTTATTCTAAACTAGCAGCCTTAGATATTCGAGTCCTGGGCCAGATGAATTCCTCTATCTATTCTAAAGCAATCTTCCTTTATTTTACCACAACCACTGTTCATAATTTTTAACTTTTCACTCAATCTGGGCATATTTCCAAGAGACTGGAAGACAAGTTATATAACACCAATTTTTAAATCTGGCAACAAATCCGAAGTAAATAATTATTGAGGAATCACAGTATCTTGAGTACTATACCAAAATTATTAGAAAAACTGGTTTGCGAATCTTTAGCATCTTCACACAATATATTCATAGATCAACAATTAGGCTTTAGACGTAAAAGTTCAACAGAATTAAATTGAAAGCTAGAATTTGTTTTTTTTTTCTTCAATAAATAATTTGTATACTATTAAAAATAATAACGTCTCTGCATTATTTATATTTTTCTGGGTTGCTTGAAAGAGCGCTGCTTATTTGCTGGCACAATCTTTGAGCTGGCCAGTAAGTGCGAAAGTCACACCTTGTCTTTTAAAATCTGTTATTTTGTGTAATAACTTGTATTGAAAGCAATAAAATCATTATTATTCACGCCACGTGTCAAATGCCCTTGAAAAAGGATATGAAATACATTCTATTTATATGGCTCAGGTAAGTGGATCTTTTCTAAATTGATTGGAAAGTTACTTAATTGATAGACGTCAAATTGTACATATTTCAAACTTATGAAGACTAGAGAGAGGGAGGCGAATCGGTAATGGTCTTTCTGTCCTTTTTATCAAGTTCGCGAAATTGACTGTAGTTGGCATGTCAAATAACAGCGGTCTATGTAAAATGAAGTGATTTTTTAAAAAATTGGTGAAAAGAATCAAAATAATGTGAAAAAAACATCAAAGCAAGATTTACGTCATTCCAGATTGTAAAACATGATACAAATCAAATGTAAAACTAAAACAAACACAAGGAGAAATCAATTCAATGTCTTTTTAAAGCTTCTAATGTAAGTAACATAATGTATTTATGTCTAAATATCATATTTATTGTAAACTAGTCACAATATGTATCTTACGGAGTGTAGTTTATTTTATTACAAGTTACTATAATATAAAATTTTACAGTCATAAATCCTGACTTACAAACGGCAATAATTATACATTAAATTTAACTTACTAGAAGAAAAAAATATTTTTTAGAGTTTTATTGTTAGATAAAGAGTTGCTATTATTTTTTTATTTTTTTTTTTTTTTTTGAACCCCAATTGGGTCATTGTAAATGTTTTTTATAGGATACTAAATTTTCCCACAAAATTGTACTTATCAAATTTCAGCATTTAACAAACCTTTTCGAATTTGGTCATACCTACCTAATTTGTATTTTATATAGATAAAAATAAATAATTTATCAATTAAAACATGCAAGACTTATTTAGAAACAAATACAACAGTATGTTCTGTGCTTTATTTAGCTATAAACAAGTTTATTTTGAACACCGTAAGTAGTACCAGCGCCCATCCGGTTAATTATAAAAGCACAATTAGTGTGCGTTTTTTTGGGAACCTATTTTGAGTATGCTCATTCGCCTCCTTTTCTCTAGTCTTCATATTCAAACTACAAGTCATACAACATGCTTGTGCCCTCAAGGTTCACATCTGGGACCACTACTGATATTTTTATAAATGATATTATTGTTTATGTATTATTGTTTTTATTTTGGTAAATTCCTTTTATTTGCAAATGATCTCAAACTGTACTATACAGTGTCATCTAACCTTCACTTCATGTTATTGCAGTCTGATTTGGAAAACTTGGTCGATTGGTGTGACTTAAATGGAATGAGTCTAAATCTGGATAAATGTAATGTTATTATATTCCACCGAACTCGTAATACAATTAATTTTCAATACAAAATCAGTGCCATTACTCTGGAGAACTGTAAACATTATTAGAAATCTAGGGGTTAACTTTAACTCACAACTATCGTTCGTCCCACATATTTTAAACATAATCAACAAAGCTCCACATATTTCAGAATTTCTAAATCCATTAACAGCCGTTGAAACAAAAAAGATCTTATAATGTTATATAATATCCTTAATTTCGTAGTTCCATGCCCTCAATTAACACAAGCAATAGGAATTCATGTTCCACCCAGGACTACCCGTGCATCAAACACTTTTCAAATACCCTTCCACAGGACGAATTACGGACGTAATAATTCTGCTAAGTTGGCAAATACCTACCATGCTGATCTCGATTTCTTTGGCCCTGTCCGCCTATTTATGGAGATTCTTAAGGGTGCAGTTTTGTATAATGTTTTCTAATCTTTTTAATTAAGGTGTATTTTTTTTTACAAATGTACTTAATTAACTGTTTCTACGATCACCCTCCAAAGTAGGCATTTGCGCTTCGTAATACAACCACAAAATTAACGTTTTCTGCGAACTGACATTAAGTGACTGCTTTGTCGCTCGCCGAGCGGAAAACTTGAAAGCTTTGTTGTTCGTCTAATTTAAATTAGATATAATACAATATTTCTTTTTAATAAATGATTTTCAAGTTATTTGTAGGTAGTTACATATTTTTTGTTATATTATCCAAGTTAACATGGACTGTGAATATCAATTGTTTTTTTCATGATTAATGTAGGTATAGGCAACACATTATACATTACGACAAATTTTCAGTTTTTATATATATTTCTTATAAGAGTGATCGTAGAAAAAATCTTTTATGTATTTTGAGCAAAAAGTTCGTTGCTGCGTGGTCAAATTTCTGTCTCAAGCGGCAAAGTATAACTTTTCGCTCTTAATACACAAATAGCTATTTGTATTTTAACTATTAGTTTTATTAAGTAATTCGTTAATTTTAATTTTTTTATTAATCTCGATTATTCTACAATATTATACCAAACATTGTACCTAACTGAAAAGGTAATTTTTCCGTTAGTGTATATAAATAAATAAACTTAACCAGCACTTTTTAATAGATAAAATGTATTTTTATCCCTGGAGACTACACCATTTGGAAAAAAACCCTGTATAATTCCATTTATGTTGCAGCAAAAAAACAATTTAATAAAAAAATCTCAGTTGTATAATTTACAAAAGGTGAGTTCCATTTATCAGCTCAAAGATTACCATTCTTTAAATGTTACCTTCAAATCTGATGATAAAATGAATTGTTAATATTGTCCCCACTCTTATTTTGGAAAAAAGCTGATAAAATAATTGAAACCCTTGGTGTAAAAAGGATGCAAGCCACAATTTGTTGTGAAGTTACTGTTTTAGCTCAAGACATCTGTTAACAAAGATATTACTAGCCACATGCAAATTATTTTACATCTAATCCATAATATTTATAAATAAATATTTTTTTTATTTGTATTTGACAGACTTAAAACAGATTTAAAACTCAATTTCTCAAAACTTACTTACTTTGGCATATAACTTTATTACTCCAAGGTCTTCAATTATTAATAAATTTAACAAAGTTGCTCTTACACTTTTTTTCAATATTCCTGGGTATGGATATTTTTTTGAGTGAGCATAACACATTCACACTTAGAATTATGGATAAAGAGAAAATAGAGTTTAAGAATATTGAAAATAGAATAATTTAAGATATGTAGTTGGAAAATAATTTAATGCATAATGTAATGATATTGTTATTCTAAATAAATTAAACTTTATTTAAAACAAGCGATATTTTCTATTTTTCAGCATTTACTTACAACAAGAATTCAGTGAACTTTTTAAATCCTGTCATTTTTTTAAATCGCTTTACTTAGTAGTGTTCTATTTAACAGATGATTTAGTTTAACGGTAACAAGTAGCGTGCAAACTTGTTACCAACTATTTAAAGTTAATAGCTACCCTGAATTCTACTGTTAACAGAAAATTTAAAGTCAACCAAGTAAAAGTCATACTTGAGCAATAGTATTCCGAACTTCGATTGTTTTAAAATAAGAAATAAGTATTATTGATATGTTGGGAGATTTAAGTCAGGTGCTGATACAAAGTAATAGGAAATTGAATATTGATTATTTTCGTTTAATCTACACATTTTTCTCAACGTTCGTGATTTTTTTCAGATTTTTCTAACCATTACTTTTGGAGACAGTAATTTTTAAAAGATTTGTTGAAAAAATGTTAAATAAAAAGTAACAAAAATGGACGTAATTCCATATTTCATTTGAATCCCACTTGATGGCATCAGAAACTTCCAATTCAACTCCCATAAAAATGACTGCCCAAGACAAAAAGAGCACCTCGACAACTACACTTATGAAGAGAAATAGAAATTATTTTTTACAAAAACAGCCATTGTAAAATGTAATTGCTTAAAACAACACTGCTCTACTAACATTAAAACATATATTTACCTTGTCCTAAGGCCTTTATCTATAAGACACTGTATAATTGCAAGTAAATTACGTTTTCCATTTTCTCTTTTAATTTTCACAAAAGTTCTTTCACTCTGTAACGCACTGTCTTGGGTTTTTTCTATTGCAGTCGAGTATGGTGTTCTTCTTTTATTGCTTCGTTTATTTGAGTGTCGCTTCTTAAGAGGCCTCCAAAAATAAAACCTTAACTCTTTTGATATGTTTCGACTAGGACTAGTCTGTTTCCAGGAGTGGTCCCTCTGCCAAGGCGAAGACTGAATAGAACTATTGTCATCTGAAACTAAAAAATATATATATCATTAAATCGATAAATAAATTTGTTTAAAATTCAGTAAAATTAAAAAAAATGGTAAAAAATGTATGTTTCTTAACATGTTTGGGTTGAACGGTAGCCATCAACTTAGTAAGCTTCTTAGCAGTCTTTGAAGGTTTACCACCTAACCTTGCAAGTTAAATTTTAGAGTTTTGTAACTTTTTAAATCCAGGGTTGCTACAAAATTCAAATATCGCTGACTTTGTCAAAGATCTTCTTTATCTCAAACAGTCCATCAAAAAATGTATCGTTGGTAAGTCGCTTTCTATTTTTCCTTAGTTATTATAAAACTTTTCAATGGTGAATTTCATAATTAATTAAATTTTAATCAAGAGAAAGAAGGGTTATAAGACAAGGCCGTCAAAAAGAAGAAGACGCAAGTAAAACAACCACATAGAATTAATGAATTTTAAATATGTTTGGCAGTATTATTCACTAAAGGGGTAACTAAAATTACTTTACCTAATATTATCTATAAATATCAAATCATTCAATAGAAGGATAAATTTAAATACCTGGGGATAAGCGTTCATAAGAATCTTAAATGGAATTCTCACTTTAATGATTTAAATGTTAAGATCAATCGTAACGTCAATGTGGTGCGTGCCCTTTGTGGACTTGGTGGAGATGTGACCCACAAATATTACGAATTTTACATAAATCAATCATTTTGTCCCACTTTGATTATGTATGTCAAATTATAATACTGTGTTCCCAGGATATACAAAAAAAAGTTAGATACACTTCAGAACCAAAGCCTTTGTATCATCACAGGGTGTGTGAAACCTACCCCAATTCTAGCCTTATTGACTGAGACTGGTGAACTTCCCCTTAGATTTAACAGAATGGCTATTCCTTAAGTACCTAGTTAAAAATGTCTTTGGTATACAATCCCATTATCGCTGCTTTAAGAAAACTAGAAACATTATGTGGGAGCTCTACCTATTGGAGCAACAAAAGTAACCCTCTACTAATCCAGCTCATCAGTCAATTGGATGTCGTGAATCCTCACTTATTTACTTCAGAGCTTTTACCATGTTATAAATTTGACTTGCAACCCGAATTGGCCTCTATTCCTATTGCAAACATTGGCGCCACCAAATCTGAAAGTATAGGAATTGTACAATATCAGAATATCATCAGGAAATACCCATCTTACACCAGGTTCTTTACTAATGGCTCAATACTCTTCCGGTCGCTCCGGGTTTGGAGTGTATATTCCAGATATAGATTATGCATTCTCAAGTAAGCTTCCTTTTCACACTCAAATTTGTTCAGCTGAAGTTGTAGCTATCAATAAGGCCTTGCCAGTAATCTTATACAAAAACACCTTTCAATCCATTATCCTCTCAGACTCCAAAGCTGCACTTCAAAAAATAGCAAGATCATGCTTTTCCAGGTAAACTGAAAATTATCCCTTCTTGACAAAGGACGGTATCTTACTCGCAAAAGATGAACATATCAAAATAATTCTGGCATGGATTCCAGGCCACTCTGGGATTCTGGGTAACTTCAAGGCTGATCAATTGGCAAATATAGGAAGATCTCTGAATATTCCAGTGAATATCAAATTAAACTATCATCATTTCTTTCCATTCATCAGAAACATTGTGAATTTAACACGTTGAAGACCGCATACACATAGGGACCGGCATTTTTTATTGTTAATTACGTATATTGTTTTCTAAATATGTTTTTAGTGTACAATAATTTGAGGTAGACATTATTTAACCCCTAGATTTATTTCAATTAAAGTGCCCACGGGTGATCACCCGGTCCCAACGTGTAAATTTACTTTCGTAAACCGCATGCCCACCGATGAGTCAGTTTGTCTTGCACATTCTAGCTTTGACGAAACTAAATAAGTTATATATTAAAAGTTGTGTTCTAAATGATTTTTTATTTTTATTTTACCTTGAAAATCTAAAACTCGTTAATTTTGTTTGATTTAAAAAAAAAATCGTTTTAAAATGAGGCTATGTCAAATTAACTAAGTCCGCTATATACAGAATCTCTTCGAGGGACCAGCGAATGAACTACTGTACATACATTGAATTTAAATCATGCCCACCGGTGAACAAGTGGTCCCCAGGCAGGTAAAACATTTCGTGTGCCCACCCGTGAGCACAAGGGCTGGTGATGTTGCGGAGTGACCCACCGGTGGGCATATGGTCTTTAACGTGTTAAGATGGCTTGAAGAATGGAATAGCCTCAAGAGTAGGAAGAATTCCTTTTATTCTAAAGTCGTTCCACGATTTAATAAAATCTTTTGGTTTTTATATTTTCCCTACAAGGACAGAAGACATTTAACTACAATAATTAGGATGAGGACAGGACATTGCCTATCACCATATCACTTATTTCGTATAGTAAAAAATGATCCATATTGTGAGTGTGGTCCAATTGGCTCATTAAACCACATTATCTTTGAATGTCCCATAAATACGATGGCAAACTATGATTTATGCTCTGAATTGGCAAAAACTAAGCTCTCTACTCCCTTTGGCATTTGTTTTATGTTGACTATCCTCAATAATAGAAAATTAAACATTCTAATCAAAATTTTAAATATATTTAAAATTCAATTATAACCCTAATACTTTATCCTCTCTTTCAGTCCTGGGTGCTTCTACTATTTACCGTTGGCAGTTTTCTGGTTGTGTTCAGCTTGGCGAGACAAGTTTTTATCCTGTGTTGTGACGTTCAAGTACTAACTTTGTATGCCCCTCTATGTATATAACTCAAGTCGTAACATTAAGTCTAATAAGCTTTTTACTTTGAAATATATATTAATTTAATTGAGGGTATCCAATTGCTGAGAGCAAGACAAGGATACTCTCCCCGTTGTTGGCTGGGTAAATTATCCTGTAGGATATAGCCCAAATAAAGGAAGAAGAAGAAATATGTTTGGCATCTTTTGTGTATTTAAGTTCATTGAGATAAAGTGTCCGCACTTTTGCATTACACTTTTACGTCATATGTCAAACTCAAGCTAGTCAGTTTTAGTGAGAATAAATGCCATTTTTTTTTAAATAGCTTGATTTAAATGATATAAGAATAAAAATTAATGTTTTTTTTAATTTTTTTGGTATTTTTATTTAGACGTAGTTGTGTCATTTATAATAATATTTAACTTTGTATATTTCTATTTATAACCATTTGTAACTTCACTTCTTACTATTTTTTTACCAAAGAGTATATTATTTATTCTTATTTTTTTCCAAACAGTACCTATTTTTACTTCCCTCGATAAGAGGAAAGTATTGTATTCGTGAAAAAGTCACCCTCCGAGATTATTTGAGATCTTCACGTTTCAGTTATACTTCCGGTCACTTATATACGGAGTGTGAGCAGTTTAAAAATCATTTATTTTTAAAATTCTCAGAGTTCGACTAAAATTGGTATACGAGTTAAGGTAGTTCACTCGCGACAGTCGTACATAAAAATATCGCGTAATGGTGAATACCAAAAGTTCGAGATTCTCAATGCTAACAAATTTTATTTTTGTAATAGACTGTACAAAACACATGTATATAAACACATATGGACAAGTTATAATTTTATTCAATTTCATCGGGCAAACTCGCAAATATTTAAACGATATGGTATAGAAATTTGTGACTTCCTCATACTAATTTTAAGGGTTTGTTTTAGTTCAAACAGAACCGCTGATTCCAGTTCTCAAACACTTTGGACGAATTAATTTTTCAAGAACACGTCGCGAGTTTATAACAACCTCTTAGCTGATCGAGTGTTACTTTGATACATGAAGTGGCTACAATGTTGCCAAGTTGTAATAATTTTACGAAACTACTCGTCAACTGCTTTAAAAATATTTTTATTTTAAAAATCTATATCTTTTTACTAAGATAGTCAAAAAATTCAGCGATTATCTATAAAATTTGATAACTTCTTGATTTATTTAACATTAATTTTTAAAAAATATGGTAAGAACCGTTTTCGAGATATCTTGAAATAAATGCATTGCTTGTGTACATGATAGGCTTCAAGAGTGTTAATTATGCACATTTTGATTGTTAATATCTCGTTTCACAGATGGACAAAAAATCTAATTTTTTTTAGTTACGTAAACGACAGTTTCATAAACCTTATATTTAAATTTTATTGAATTCTTAAGAAAAGCCGTTTTACGAGTGAACTACCTTAATATAAAATCCCCAAATAAATTTTTAAAAATTCAAAATGGCGTTGAAAGTAGTCTTATTTAATGGATTACGGAATTTTGCTCGAATTTTTTTCCCAAAACAACATTACTTCGAAAATGTATTTTGTCGAAAATACATTCGCAAGAAAGAACATGCACTAAATATCATTTAATCGAAAATATATTTGTACAAATAAGCAATTGATCTAAAGGTTTACATCACCGAGTCTATGAAGGCATTTTCGCAGAAACCTACTATAGATTACAAAATTTAAATGGCTCTAGGCCGCACAGGTCAGGTACATTAGTTAAAATGTTGTTTGTTATTTCATTTCATGTATATTTTTAGGTTAAATAAATAGCTTATTTTTAAATTTTAATTAGAATACTAGGAAGATATTTCAAATCTCAGATCATGTCCGTCCGTATAGTAATCGCGAGTGCGATCAAATGTATTTCATATTCGATAAATTGTTTGTTTGTTCCATTAGTCCGGGATCGGTAAGTAATGTCGACCTTCACCCATCTGTTTAATGGATAAAAGTTTTTTTTTTTATTAAATAAAATATGTTTTTAAATATACTGAAATTGGGTTGCCTAGGAAAATACGGTCACAGCCATTTTTTACTTTCCTTTCTGTGTACAGATAAGGAAAGTATAGGAATCATAATAAAAGTTGCTTATGATGTCATTCTCTATTATTTTGTTCCGATACATAATTTTCCTAAAATGGACCTAATTCGAGATATTTGAGGAAAAGATGGACGAAGAGAAAAACACCAAATTTTAAACTTAAGCTTTAATCCATCCTACAGTGAGCTAATTAAGGTTTGGGCATAGTCGAAGCATCTGGGAAATACTTTACAGGGTCTCGTTTTTTTTTACTTTAAGAAAATAAATAGTCTGGACCGTATTTTCTTAGGCAGCCCATTTGCGGTATATTTATAAACACATTTTATTTATTAAAAAGAAACTTTCATCCATTAAGCAGATGGGTGAAGGTCTACCTTACTTCGGATCTTAGACTATATCAACAAAAATATCTTGGGCGCAAATGTTCTTTTGACAAAAAGATCTTAGACGCAAATGTTCTTTCGTGCAAATTTACTTTCGTCAGGATGTTTTATCGAGCCAATGTTTTTCTCGAGCAAATAATATTCTAGGAAATGTTTTTTCGAACAATTGTTTTTCGAGAAAATGTCTTTCGAGCAATATTCCGTAATTCTTATTTAATCGAACACGTTCCCCCTTGAATTTAAATAATAAAAAGCATCCTACTGGTTTGTGTAAATGGACCATTTTAAAAACAGTCAATCATTATTGTTCAATATAAAAAGTATTATCACTGCCTCAAATAAACAAATTATTTATTTGAGATCTCTTGTAGTTTGCACAATTGATTCATAACAAAGATACAAAACACTCAGGCCCACTTTTAAGAAAAACCGTTTTTTGCCTTCTGTAAAATTTCTTAAAATAGTTACTCTTTTCAGGTTTCACTGTCAATAGTATGTTTATTAAAAAAAAAATATGTAAAGTTATAGGATTACATAATTAATCATATTTTTTAACAAAGGCAAGTACGTGAATGATTCCAATGTAGAAATTTCAATAGTTATGCAATACTTGACAACAAAACGTACATTTCATTTACATATCTGGAAAAATTAGAAAGACTGGATAATTCAATATATGGTTTTTAGCAGAAAGTTTCATCGAAAATTGACTACTACTGTTCTTTTTATAAACGTTTTCAACTAAATTACTAATCTTCCTTACACAAACATGTTGATACACTTGCTGAATTTTAAGAAGATTAACAGTCAAATCATTGTTTAAAAATTATTAGAGCAAGAACTATTTTCATCAAAAGGAAATTGCAAAACAAAGAACTTTATTTTAAGGAAATGAAAGTTTTATGCCAGTTAAATCAGTAAGGTCTGTAAAAGCTGAATAAACAATGAGGTCAGAAGAGACAATTTAAAAATATATTAGTAATGAATTAAATTATTATGCTTGTAAGTCTAAAAATAACACATTCATACTAAATGTTATATGATACGTTTTTAGAAAAATTGACTGGGATAATATAAAATGGTTATGAAAAAGGTAGAAAAAAAAAAGGCAGAAAACAGTGATTTTTTTATCATGTAAAAAAAATAAACAAAAAAACAAAAACTTTCTAATAATAAAGTAAGTAAAATTTTTACATATCTTACCACTAAGAGATGTACTGCTTTCTTGCCGGTATGCAGGAGTAGAGGAAGCTGTTCCTTGTGGCGGCCAAAAAGTTTTTCGTGGAACTGACACCCATGAAACTCTTTCACCCTCCCTGGCTCTTTCCAATTCAAGGATAAATTTCCCATCTTAAAAATAAATTAAATGCATACATTTTGAATCTATATTCAAGAACTCTGGTAGTAGATTGTATAAGTTACTATATTGATTAAATTCCGAGTGCAGCATAATGTACTGTATATGAACTTCATTTTATTATTGTTTAATCTGTAATGTTGTACATGTTCATTTATATGATTTTATGGGTATTGAGAAAGGACTAAATAAACATATTTTTATTTAATTATTACTTGAATTCTACATTATATATAGAGAAATATTATTTTATAAGATGGTAAGATAATTACTCAAAAATAGTAGGTACTACTACTACTTAAGAATAAGAACTGTTACAAAACTTATAATAGCGTTTCCTTTTGTAAAAGATATGAAAGATGAGAAGGGAAAAAGGTTCCTAATTTAAAGTTCGATTTTTAGTCTGAAGAAAATCAACATTTATGACCACTATGGAAATTTTAAGGATCTTTAAATTCTAGAATGAAGTTTATGCTATAAAATTTGTTATAAAAATCCCTCCTTCTCATTTGCAGAAAGTGAAAGACAAGTCTATTTTAATCTGATAAAATATACATTATACAAGTGTTTAGTAAAAATATCAGAATTATGTCATCTGCAGAAAATTTAATATAAAGTACAAAAACTATAATTTTTTTTACAAAATTCTACACCTATTTAGTAATGAACTATTTAACTGTGTTCAAAGAAATTACAAAAATTGTAATACATGCTCGAGAAATTATTTAAAAAATATATTGATAAGTTGAAAGGTTAAAAGGACCTATAACTATCTTAGCTTTTGTATGCTGTGTGTTTTTTATGAAGTACAGTAGACCGTCGAATCCGGACGTTAAAAATCTGTATTCATTTCCGGTGAAAAATATGTTGAAGTGAATATATACATACATCGAAGATGTTATGCTTGTAATCACAAAGAAAACCAGTGTAATAACAAACTAACTTGTACTTATTGTGGTGATGAACATAAAGTATTTAATTGTCCAAAACAAACAAAAAAATGTAACAATTGTCTAATCTCTGTTGAAAATTTTAAATTAAATTACGATGTGAATCATGATGCATATAATCTGGAATGTCCAACACGTAAATTTTTCTTACAAAGATTCAAAAATACTATATACTTATATACTATCATTCTAAGTATCCTGCTATATTTAGTGTAACTGGAAATTCATTTCACTTACTTTTGTTAACTAATTCAAATATTTTATGGTAATAATTGATCAAGATGTAGTGTTAGATGAACTAGAACAACTCGAACAAGATCATTGTGGTGAGCTTATAGAACCGGACGAATACAATTTGAAGGTATCAACTTCAAAAAAATTATTGAATATCGTGCATTTTAAGATTAGGAGTGCTAACAAAAACTTTGATAAATTCTTAGCACTCATTGATACATATATTTATGGAATAATTAAAAATGAATCTAAATTTTAAACTGCCATATATTTGTTAAAAATGCATGTATTTCACTGCGGGTTTTGGAGTTGGATAGCTTTTTTCTTCGTCTCTTAGAAACTAAGCCTTTATTTTGCCATATGCCAATATTATACAGGGCATTTTACAAAGTGTGTACCCATGTAAAATTCACAAAATTTTAATTTGTGATTTGGGAAGTATGAGCGTGTAAAAATTTCAATTTTTTGGACCGTTGGTTACAGCTTTCCTTTGAGTAGCTCCTGTAAATAGGATTCTTCAAAAATCTTTCTTTAGACAAAAACGCTCTAATTTTTAGTGCTTTTTTGCCATAATGACTTTTAATTATCAAGGAAAGTAAAGCTATAGTTAATGTAAGTCATTTATACAAGATGATTCAAAAGTACTCAAGCTTAAATTTAAAGATTAAAATGACCTGTATAATATTGGCAAATGGCAAAATAAAGGCTTGGTTTCTAAGAGACGAAGAAAAAAGCTATGCAACTCCAAAATCCGCGGTGAAATACATGCATTTTTAACAAATATATGGCAGTTTAAAATTTAGGTTCATTTTTAATTATTCCATAAATAATGTTCACAAACTTGTCATATTTTTGTATTAAGTGAATATTTTCAAATCACATCCTCAAATAACTTTAATATACCTGGTTTCACAACTATTCATAATGTTGGCGATTATAACAGGAATGATGGGGTTTTGGTTACAATTAAATCTGATTTAAATTATATTTGTGTTAATAAATTAATTACGTGCATTACGTGTGGTGTAACAAACCTGATTATTTGATATATCTTTTAAAATAATCACTTTGTATAGACGAATCCCAAGTGATTTGATCTCATTTATTAATGAATTTAATTTGATACATACCTTGACCAAAACACCCAAAATAAAAAAAAATATGAAATTTTAATAGGTGACATTAATATTAACCTTTTAGAAGAAAATGATATAAATGTAAACAACTATCTTTCCATGCTTGCGAAATACGGCTTTGTACCGTATATATTTAACTCCACCCGTGTTACCCCCTGAAACTGTCTCCTGCCTAGATCATATTTTCTTGAAAGAAGCATATAATAATAAAAAAAAATTTAAATATAAATCATATTTACATAACTGTCACATTACAGACCATTACCCAATTAGTTTAAACATTAATAAATCAGGGACAACAAAAAAATAATAAATCCCTATGAAAAAAATTAAATTTTATTAAACTACAATCATTCTTAAAAAATGAAGCCTGGATTGATTGTTTACAATCAAATGATCCTCAGAGTGCTTTTAATCGATTCATTCATAAATTTAATAGTTATCTTACCCTTTCCATCAATATAAAAAAAATTACAAAATCAAATCTTGGATAACTGATGAACTAATAATATCAATAAAGAATGGAGATCAATTAATAAACGACTAAACCAAAATTTCTCTCCAGAGTTGGATCGTGAAAATAAAACGTATAGAAACTCACTAAATAAACTACTGAAAAAGACCAAAGACAATTTTATTAAGGCAACTGGAAACAAATAAGCACAACTTTAAAAAAAGTGTATAACTTAGTTATTGGTGATGCGACTAATGAAAACACAGTACAAGTCAGTAACTATCAAATTGTTAATAATGAAGGAATCCCTTTTACTGACAATAAACAAATAACAAACCATTGTAACGAATATTTCATTATTATATGTCTAAAATGAAAATATAACTAGAAATGTTAATTCATTATTTCTTATTCCTGTATCAAATACTGAATTAATTAATCACATCTCAACTTTAAAAAATAAATAATGCACCTGGCAGTGATGGGATAACATCTGATATAATAAAAAAAGCACGTGTTCATTTTACAAGCATTAAAGAATATAATAAATTTAATTTTTGAAAAAAGTACTCTCCCAATGCAATTTTAAACCTCTCTTGTTACACCTATTTACAAAGCAGGTGACAAAACAAAAATCTATAATTACAGGCCAATAAGTGTAATTAGTAACTTTGGATTGTTTTTTTTTTGAAAAATGCTTAAAATATCATTTAGTAACATTTTAGGATCACAATAATATATTGCATAAACACCAATTTGGGATTCAAGCTCTTAAAGCAACATCTGATGCAATGTGTACTGTTATTAGAGAAATAAACAATTTAGATGGTAATAAAAAATGTATTACATTATTCTTAGATCTTGCAAAGGCTTTTGACACTGTAAATCACGAAAAACTTCTTAATTTTCTTGAACATTATGGCATTCAAGGTACAGTGTTAGACATGAACATCGCGTTAAATTAAATAAAGGTCTAAGTGAAGCTGATACTGTTAAAATAGGAGTTCCTCAAGGTACTGTCTTGGGCCCGGTTCTATTTTTAGTTTATAGTAACTCGTTGCTCTCTTTGCTATGCTGATGACACAGTTGTCTTATTTTGTGGAAAAACATAGACAGAGATCAAATTGTCAGTCGAGGTAGGAATGGAAAAGGTCATAAACTGGTTAAACTTGTATCAGCTATCACTAAACATAAATAAGACTTGATATATATTGCTTTTAGTCTTTCAGATGCAAATATACCTTGTTTTACTAATATTAAAATCAAAGGTTTGAATGGGGCAATCAAATAAACAAATGTGATCAAGTACTTGGGAATAATCATTGACCAACATTCAAAATGGAGTAACCACATTGATTACTTGACAAAAAAGTAAGAAAACTCATTTTAAATTGTATCATGTGAAATTTTGTCAAAAACATTGTTATTGTTAGATTACAAATCTCTAGTTGAATCATTATTTAATTATGGTATTCTAGTATGGGGTGAATGGTATAAGAACTCTTTACAAAAACTAAATGTTACACAAAATTATATTTAAAAAATTATTTATAGCAAAAATAAATGCTACACACTAACTTGCTGTATACAGAAGATATTTGTAATATTAGATCACTTTACTCTCACAGCATTTGTATATATGCTTTTAACAACAAGTCTAAAAAAAATTATGTAACTGGTATGTATGGCATGCAAAATATTTCAAAAGAGCTACTATATTTTCCAAAATGTATTAAAAATGTTTTTCATAGATTCTTGTTATATACATTGCCAAAAATACATAACATTTTACCAAATAGTATAAGGAAAATTTTTTTCTAAACTAAGTAAAAAAATTATTTTTATACATTATTATGAGTTCATAAAAACACTAGAGTAAGTAGGGTAGATATAAACATATCTGTTAATCACATCGATATTTTATTTTAAGATGTATGCAATATTATTATTATTATTATTATTATAATTGTATTATAACAAAATTAAATTATTGACATATATTAGCCAGCACAATACAAGTGTTTACTCACTTAGGCGCTTACTTTTTGTAATCTGAGAATTACTGTTTTATATTCCTACATGTATTTTTAATTTAATTTAATACCTAAGGATTAATATTTAACAAACAAAAGCATTAATGTGACAGGCTGAGCCAAGTCGTCTTAACCGCTTCAAAATATATAAACTGTACAGTATTCTGTAATTACATATTGTACATTACATATTATGTATGTATATTCTATCATTAAAATACAAGGATTGTTTAATTTATTTATAGTTTATTTATTTAAAACACTTTATTTATAGTTTATTTATAACGTACTAATTAATTTTCAGGCACTATTATAACTCACAATTCTAATTTATTTATTTATATTTATCTTTTTTGTCCAACACTTAAGTAAATTGAATCTTCCTGTCTGTCGACAAACTCGCACTATTTATATAAAGCCAGCTCTGTACCAGAACTCTCTAGGCTTTCCAGAACGATCGAAAACTGCCTTTCTATGACTTATACAACGCAAAGGGATCTATATGGCCAGCGGTAGACTTCATACCGCAGGCAAGGAGTAAACAAAGTACAGAGATGACTTAATGGATATATTTATCTGCTCAATTATTTAACCACAAAAATGAATTATTAATGGTCATAGCAAGTGTTCTTTTTGTTATGAACTCAAACAACCTTTTAAATTATTGACACTCTACTGTATTTTATTTATTTATTTATTATTTTGTAAAGTATTTAAAATTAAAAAATATATTGTACTATTAAAAGTGAATTTTTATAATTATTATTCAATATTCAAATACAATAGTGAAGAAATATCGGAAGTAACTTTAATTTATATATTTAAATGGGATCAACCCCATTACAAAGCAAAACACATAAATGATACAGATAATTGTAAATGATAAATTAAATTAAAAAATACTAGAGAAAAACAATAGTTAAAATTAAGTCAAATAAGTTTTAGATTAATAAATGCATTTCAAATATTGTAAATCCGTCTGTAATATTTTATTTTTACTCCAGTGTATTCGTACAGATTGCCTTAAATTTATTAGAAGAAATGCCTGTAAACTCAAGATTCAATTGATTTATTACCCTCAATGTTCTTTCAATACTTTGTAATCTGAAATGGAACATATTAATTGCCTAAGGACTCTATTAGGAATATTGAAAGAAATCATTTCTAAGAGATCCGGGCATATGACTAGACCATTTAATATTCTATAGATATTGAATATGACAGTGTATATGATATTGTGGCGACCAAATTATAGAAGCATACTCCAACTGAGGTACAACCAATGTTTGATAAACTCTTTTTATGGATTCTAGAGAGAAATCAGAACAGTTATGCAATATTAACCCTAAGCATTGGGATGATTTTATTGAGATTGAATTTGTGTTCAATAAATCTTAATTGTTTACCTAAAATAACTCCTAAATCTTTGACCAAGTTAACCCGAGATAGTGGCTTATCATTAATGTAATATTGTGAGTTGCACTTTTTGTTCCCTTTAAACAAGCTTATAAAGCAACATTTATTAACATTCAACTGTAGGTTATTATGGTCACACCATTTAACTAAGTTGTTGAGATCATTCTGAATGAAGGCTTGATCATTAGATGAGTAAATTGGTCTATACAACTTTAGGTCATCCTTGAACCATTAATAAATATATTAAATAAAAGTGGTGAACAATGAGAGCCCTGTGGTACACATGAGGAAACCCTAATTAATCTTGATCTATTACTTCCGATTTTAACTTGCTAACTCCGATCTGTCAAAAAACTTTTAAACCATTTCACCAGCTGAGATGGTATACCAAATGACTCTTAGTTTCTTTAACAATATTTCATGATCAACCCTGTCAAACACTTTAGCGAAATCTGTATAAACAGAGTCAACTTGCCCTTTAGCTTCTAAAACATTTGATATATTTTGTTCCTATAACAATAGATTTGTAACTGTAAATTTTTTTTGACAGAAGCCATGCTGGTTATTGATCAAAAGTTCCTTGCAGTGAAAATTAAGCTGATCAAAAATTAAGCTGTCCATTCATTTAGGTAAAGAAGATTGAATACTAAAGCTTATATAATTATTTATATCAGTCCGTTGTCCTGATTTAAAAATCAGAACAACAAAACTGTGTTTCCAGATATCTGGGAAAACACCTGTATCGAGACCTGTATCTATAGATTGCTTAAGTAAAATGTAAATGTAAGGGAAAAAATGCAGTTTTAGGAATATATAATGTAATACATATTATATTATTAAAACTAAGGGCCAAATCAAAAATTGATCATATAATTCAAATAAAATTGATAGCTGGGAATGAAAGATAATAAGACATTTTCCTACATTTACATTTATGACTGCATTTAAAGTTATAAAAGCAATGGAAAGCAATTCCATAATCATTTGAGCTTATCTGCAAAAGCAATAAATTATTATATATTTAAATGGAAGCGTTTTCAAATGGAAACCTTGCACAATTCCAGGGGTTAGATTAGATTAGACTTCAATAGGACTGTGGGTTGGTTTTTCTTCTCCAAGTGTAAGGAATCTGTCTTAATAGACTTTCACAGTGACACAAAACATACAGTGCATTTTCCTCTTCCTGGCAAGGGTAACAGACAATTTGTTTTTCTCTATTTGTGTTCTATTACCAAGATAAATTATAATCAATTGAAACAATATAGGTACCATTTAAAGTAGATTTATTTAGTATATGTAAGTTGAAAGTCTTTGAGAAGCCAGTATCAGCATGTTAACAACTAATTAAATTAGTTCAGTGGACTTATGTGCATATACCTATAAACCAAATTACAGAGGAGTTTTGATACCAGAGCAGGCAAGATTAGAGTTTAGATTTAATACTACAGACATACATATCTACATTATTAGTTTATGTAGGTACTTATTTCTAGAAACATTTTCAAAACTTTGGGAATATTATTTTTCTCATTAGTTACCAGATTTGTACATTGATTACTTCCAATCTTCAGGAAAACCAAAAAAACAACCTGATTATATAGGTAAATCCAAAATTTCCTTATTATCTTTCAAACAATAATTGTATTTTTCCTTATATTAAAAAAAAGAAAATAATAGATAATTTTACATTTATTTTCTACAAAAATATACAGTAATAAAATAAAAAACACCAGTGGCTAACTTTGAAAAAAAAAATTAAAACAGGTATGCCTTGCCTAATTTAAGAAGTGTAATGAATTAAAAGAAAATTAATACTTAATAGTACTGACCTTTAAAGAATTTAAGACGTCCTCCTTGCCCATAATTAGTTTTGTGGCACTCCTCCTTAATATTTCTGTCAACATTCCCATTCATTCCAAATTTGTGCCCCTCTTCTGACATTTTGGTACATTTTGTCAAGATGGTTGTTGAGGGATGCTGTATCTCAGATGATATGTGCATTTCATAACGTATTAATACGATTTGAGGGCCATTTTTTCATTAAATACCATCTCCAAAATCCTCCCTCAAAATATTTCATTAAACCACAATCCACCTGCTGACAGTTCTTCGAGCCGTCGCGGTATTTCAACGTCCACTGCACTCCATAACGAATATTTTTTAAAAGAATCTCTTAAATATGCTCGACACATCTTTGAAACATTATTAGAAAACTCGAGCACATTGATATTTTTCACAGATTTTCAATAAATTTTAAACATTTAACGTAACCCTCCCTACACAACTCGTCCCGTGGTCAAAATTTGATGATGTTGACGGTCGCTCTGTCGGACAGTTGGTTTCATAAAAAGTTCATTCACATTTCCAATGAATGATTTTTGAGAAATTTATGCCATTAGCATCGTACTTTCGATGATAAAATCTTATTAGTTCTGTTGTACATTGTTTATTGGATAATATATGAGCTAATTGAGTATTTAGGCGACTTTATTATTTACATAAATCAATTATAAAGTAATTAATTTATAAATCGCGCAAGCTATTTGGGGTTTTTTTAATTGGTACATAGTCGTATAGTTGCGACTTGAATTTATCACGTTTGACATTATGATTTAATCCTCGAATAAAACTGTTTTGTGATCCGTCTAACGCCATCTATATATTGGTAGTGGGAATAGAATAAATAAATTGCCATAGGCGGAGATTATTTTTAGTTTAATTTTTTTTGTAATCAATCATATTTTCTAAATAGTTCATTATTTACAAAGTGTTTTAGTAAAATTTTGGCATTCAGATTCAACAAAGGAGGTCGAAAAAATGATTATTATAATTTAAAATTTTATGTCCCATCATATGCCAACTACCATTATGTACCAACTACCAACAACTTTGTTGCCAAAAATTGCCGCGTTTGAGAATCCACATCGGATGCATTTTTTACATCTCGAGCGTTTTTTTATCCACATCGGACACATCTGTCCCATTACATTTACGTATACTGAATCACGTGATCAAAGATTTTTTACATCTCAGATGCATCCGATGTGGATTCTCAAACGCAGCAAAAGTTTATTTTTATTTTGTAGGAAGAGTGAAATATAAAAATAAACTGACATTTTAGTATATCCATCAAAATTACCCTAAATTCGAACTAAATTAGTATGAGTGAATAGGTGTATTTCTAATACCTTTCAAAAGCGGTCTCAGTTAAAGTTATTGGTCACTGCATGATCCTGTAACGTCATCTATATACTCCTTGTTCCTAATAAAAAACTATTCAGGTGGCAGTGGTTCTAAAAGTATTGTTGTTTACTAGAGTATTTGTCTTACAGAAGATAATAAGTTGATGCTAGTGTCTCTTTGTATTGTAAGCCATTATTTATTAGGCACAATATACTAACACTCACTTGTCTGTTTATTTTAGAAACGGTACTTTTAGTTTTTAAAAAATATAAATGTAATATTATTAACTCCAGCAATACTCGAAGAATCTTTTACCTTCCCTTGCCTATACCCTCTTCCGGCTTGTACAACGGGAAAAAGATATTTAACCACTTGTCAATTAATATAAGAAGTGCTGACTTATTAAAAATATTTAAAAAGCAAGTTAAGAAACTCTTGCTCGAAAAGGCCTACTGCAAATTGGATGAATTTTTCTGTGATCCGTTAAATTAAGTAGCTCATTTTAATTTTTGTGTATATTATATATTTGTCAATTGTCATATTGGTGTTGTGCATATACATTTTTGTTCTTTATATTTTATGATTTGACATTAGAATTAAAAATTTAATTTATGAAATATTTATGTTTGTTTCTTTTTTTTGAATTTTAATTTTTTACTTTTGTTTTTAGCGTTCTTATACTATTACGGTATCCTTTGTTAATAAGAATGTAATTAATTCTTCAACAATAAAGAAATTTTGACTTGATTATGACGTCACCTGTTACCTCTATTAGAGAGGCATACAGCCGTTTATTTTCACCCTCCAGATTTCATTTGTCTGAATATAATCGTTCAAAATATACGAGAGGGTAGGAGACTTTTGTGTAGCAAGTAATAAAATATTAATCTTGTAGTAAATGCCATTTGCTTCAAAGATTACCGACCCATTTATTAAATGGGTCGGTAACTAGATATTATATTTACCTTACCTGCATTACATTTTGGAACATGTTTCATATTAAGCCATGAGGTGCAGACTTCTTATCTAAGTTTGAAAGTAAAACAATGACCTACAAGTTTGTTTAAACATACGCAAAAACCATATTATGCTTTTCGCTTGTGTTGGATCATCTAAAATTTTCTATTTTGAATCTTGTCTTGAAAATAAATCTTGAGTTGTCGAAAGATTCAACTAATCTTTCACTAGTTTTATGCAAGAAATATGGAACAAAAATACAATAACTAATCACTGAAACTACGTATCTACCCATAGCGAGAAAAAAACACTGTTTTTTATTTTTAATACTAATTTGTTTATAAATTCATAATTTATCGAATAAATAAAAGTTTTTTAGAAAACTAAAGATCTTTATAGTTTGTTTTCAAGTAAATACATAATATGTTGTTATAGCCAGTTATAGTTAAAACGAAAAATCCAAATACAGAAAAGAAATGTAAAAACTACTTTGAAAAAATATAATTAACACTACCAAAAAACTAAAAAAACAAAAAAAAAAAATGTTAGAGCCATTTTCTTATATCAATGCTTTCAAGAAAATCATTATTTTCTGGAACATACTGTATAAACAATGTTTATTTGAGGGCGACTCATCTGCGAAACATGTTATTGCCGGCTGACTACAATGCAATTCGCATGAGTCACCCTCAAATAAAGATTGTTACACTATAGTCAACATTGGGACAGTTGACAATTTTAACTACATAAAAAGTAGAGACAGGAAATACGATTTTAAACAATAAATAAAACGATTCTTAGAAAGACTAATTTATTACCTGGAATTAAATAAAATTTAAATGTTTTACATAATATAATTACAAATTATGACTAAAAACACAGTACAACCAAACTAAATACGTGCACAGAATAAAATGCCTTGAAAAATAACAATAATTAGAATTACTATATTGTTTATATCCCTAAAATTTGAACTCTTTGTATTTCTTCGTCTGCTTGGTGTCCTGTTGCTGTCTCTTTCTTTTACTCTGTAACAAAATAATTATTTATTTTTGGTACTGCCAGATGACAAATGAAAAATGTCTGGTGATGTTTGCTAGTGTCAAATGGCAAATTCTCTTGCTATTTGACCAATTAGTCACATAAAAACAAGAGAATTTTCAGATCTTAATTAAATTTTAATATTACCTTCTGTTTTGCGACATGTTCAGCCAACATATCACTAAGATCTTCCTTCTGCAATTGTGACTGATTCTCCCTCATCTGTTGTTCATATCTAACAGCCATGGCGTCACTGTCCATGTCCAATTCAGATGGATCCAGTGCCAATTCGACCATTCCTTCTCGATCAGTGGTTCTTTTAGGTAAGTTGGGCGCAACATTGCCTATTTGGCTCATGTCGTATGTATGAGCGCTAGCCATCATGGCATTGCCTATTCTTTCGTTTCTCTTTTCGGGAATGATGTGGTATAAAACTGGAGTTTCCGATCTGAAATTTTAAATTAGTTATTAAAAATAAAAAATACGATTTTTTAATCCTTCTTACCCTTCCATTTCGTTTTCAATTTTCTTCTTACGAAGTTCGATAGTTTCAGGAGTCTCCATTCCAGCTGGGATACTTGAAATGCCACTTGGAGTTACTAGACCTTCTGCAGGCGTTATTAGACCAGTTTCATCTGGAACCGCTTGAGCTTCCTTTTCTTCTTCTTCCTCCTCCTCTTCGCTTTCTTCTTCAGATTCCGATTCCAGAGCGCCCCACAGAGACCTGTCGATATTAGGATCTTCTCCAATATCCTATAAAAACAAATACTTATTTTGGTTGGTCTTACAAAGATCATGAGTAACAACCAAATACCCAGGAATGTATACTTTATCCAATATGAATTGAATATTTTAACAAAAACATTTGTTTTCAACCTCCCTATATCAATAGAGGTATCAAATTCTTTTCAGTTATAGAATATATTATATTCTAAATATAGTAAGCTTTTTATAATGGTTATTGCAAGAAAGTTATGGAAAAAACGAATAAAATGAATGTAACAATCCTAATGCCTACCAAAAATAACAATTAAGTGAAAATTCAAATAATTGTTTTAAATAAAGCTTTTTCGTTTATAAATAAATAAAAATAAATAATTATTAGGGTTCCAAAGTTATCCATGAAAAATTTCATTTATTTATAAAAAACAAATGAATGACAAAAAATATACACCAAAATATTTGTGGAAAGTTATTAAGAATTTTAGAAAAAAACATTTATAGTAGTAGGCAAATCCTTCGAAAATGAGAACATATTAAAATAAAAACTCAGTATGGCATTACAAAACAGTTTTTAATCTAGCCAAACCCATATGCCCCTTTTAATAAATAACATTTTAAAATCGGATAGATAGAAATATACTATTTTTATGCAAACATATTTATAGCAAGTCGGAAAAGATTTACAATTCTAAAAGTAACAATTGAACACAACAAAAAAATAAAAATAAAAACAAGATTACATATACAGGGTGTCCGGAATTTGCGTGTACATATAGCTATCACAGATTTATGGGCTCAAAATAAGTTAATTTAACTAAATTTACTTATATACCAACTTGCTTCGCTTGGCCGCTAGAGGTCAACAAAGTTAAATAAAAATGTGTTTTTCTTTGATCTCCAGAATTCAGTCATTTTAAAAGATCAAACTTGGTAGTACGGATACTAGATTTTATATGGCCAATTAAAAGTAGCAGGAACTTTTTTTCTATGGCGAACATAAGTGACTCATTAGGAGAGGAGCAACGGATATTTCCCATAATTTACGTATCTGTCACTTTTGACATAAGAAATGAAAGCATTTAATGCTCTGTCTAATGAACTCTTGTTCCATAAAAGTGCTTAAAACAAAGATAAAAATGTTTTTATTAAAAAGGTCTAACTTAATTAAATAACAAGCAAATTTTGTTGCATTTAAGCAAATCAATGAATGTAGTTTTAATAATTCTGTAATTTATTCTGTCTGTTTATGTTTGTTGTAGAAGTTTTGTAATAATGAGATTATTGTATGTGCCTTTTATATATTTTAGTATAATAATTATATTGTAAGCCATTGCTAAATAAAGAAAGATATTATATACAAGCAAATATGCTGAAGTACAAAAAACTTGAGTGCTGATAAAAATGCTCTCAAAGCAAATTACTGACTTCAGTTTAAGGGACGGAAATTCATCACTCAGTTTGTTCTACTGTATACTAAATACGGGAATTGATATTTATTTTGTTCCTTCTCTTTATAATTTGACATTGCCGCAAAAAAAACTTTGAACGAACCCTACACATTCAGTTAAAAGTACATTTATACAATTCATATTAGAACAAGTATTCCTTTACTGTTGGTGAAAAATATACTTACATCAATATTACTTGTATTTGTGCCAAATACATCTCCATAAAGAGGTTTCCCGTTTTCATCAACGGGTGGTTTACCCCAACCACCGGCGTGGTAACCGAATGCACAGCCTTCAGGAATGGGAGCATTTAATCCGGGAATTTTTAGATTAGGATAGCTCGGCGGTGGACCGTAACGTTGCATGGCAATCAACCATGGTGGAGGTACTTTATGGGCGTTCGGCCCAACCGGCATACCGAGAGCTGTTCTGAGTTCTTCAGTGAGATCACCCGGTTTCTTTTCTTTCAATCTGGTTTCGAATTCTTTGCCTTCGTAGTATAAATCTCCGTGAATAGTCATCTTAGGTTTAGTTTGCCACCTAAATAGAGTTTATTCAGTTATCAATTATTTGGTTGCAGAGTTAATAGATAGATTAGAATCCACAGAGTTTTAGATTTAGTTTTTAGTAATGTATATATTTGTTTATTTATGGGTAAAGCCCAATTCGGATTAAATACAATAGAATATAATAAAATTCAATAAAATAGTGCTAACATAAAAATTAGGAAAAATATAAAATAAAAATAATGAAACATATTCCTACGATTATATAGCAGATTGGTAGGATAAAACAGTAGATACTAATGTACAAAACAGCAATTAAATTATAATGAGTGCAAATGAAGAATATGAGATTATACGTGACGTTCAGATATTCAGTGTAAGTGGTTTTTAAATTTCTGAATAGAACTGTCAAAAAGTTGAATATAATTAAGATAATTAGCTAGTCTAAGTTTTCTAAGAGTGAATGTATTAAAAGCATAATTGTATCGGTGAAAAGGCACATGGAATGTTTGAATTTGTCTAGTAGTATGTGACGGCACAAAAAGATTGATTCTGGTGAGGAGGTCGAAGCAATTACATCTGCCATTGATAATATTGGACAATATGGTAAGATATTTTTGTTTCCTACGAACTTCCAGAGAAGGTATGCTTAAATATTGTTGCAAGTTCGCATAATGGGGCATGTTCAAAAATTTTGAAATTTTTTTTATGAATAGTAGAGTTAAAAATAAAACTACATTTTTTTAATTTTTTTTTATCTATTCATTTGCCGGAGTTATGAATTTTTTAAAAATTTATGACGTCACCGGGAATAGACCAATAGGAGCTAGCGCACAACGTTGCCGGCTAGAAGGTTTACGAGAAGTGATGTACGTTCGTTTGTGTACTCCTTCTTACTTTTAGACTTCTAAAACATCGTTAAACAAATATCTTTTAAATATATAATATCAAATGTTTTTTGAAAGTATTATTTCTGTTTAAACTTTTACCATATTTAAAGTTTCATTGTTTTAAAAGACACTTAATAATTCAGAAAATGGCAAAATGGCAGCACTGTGTATGGCATCTGTCATCATAGTGTCTCGATCAAGAATTTATTTGGAATTTGAGTGTTTAATTTTGTACTTTTTATAAATATTATGACTACGAAAAAGTGTTTTGTTCCAGAATGTGATAATGATTCACATTCATCTTCAAAAATATTTATTAGTGTTCCTAGAAATTTGGAAAGAAGAAAATCAACCTTCTACTAGCGATGTTTCTCGTGAACTTTTTAATAAAAATACACCGGATTATCAAGATGTAGCAGCAATTTCTGCTAATTGTCCCCTTCAGGAAATTGAAAATGAGGCTACTATAAATTCTTAGGTGTATAACCTAAAAACCCTTCTGGAAGAAAATGCAGAATCTCCTGAAAGTTTTGAAGATACCGAATTTATTCATCATTTTGTGGAAGAACTAGTGATAAAGAAATAATAGAAAAATGTGGGTATTTAAACAAACTGGTTCCTGGATCCCATATAATGGCAGATAGGGGTTTCAGAATATTCAGCTACTTGAAAACATGGGATGCACTTTAGTAAAGCCACACCTAGTGTATCACAGAATGAAAAAAGTTCTCCAGAAGATGTACAATTAAGTAAAAGAATAGCATCTCTAAGAATACATGTGGAAAGAGTAATAAGAAGGGTTAGTTAATTTAACATGTTAAAACCACATTCGTGTGTGAATTTTAAGCAAGTACATTTACTTAGTAATATCTGCATAATTGCTTGTTAACTTACAAGAACCTATTTTGTAAGAGTAAATATTAATTTAATAAATTTTTTTTGTTTGTTTTTTTAATTTAATTTACCTAATTATCACATTTCAGGGATTATAATGAGTTTTTAAACAGCCAATGTAATTTTTTATAAAATTTTAACTTTTCGAACAAATCAAAGAAGAATGAGTACCTGTATATGCATAGATTTTTTTGGGACTAAAACTACCAAAACAAAGGCACCAATTTACAGCAGTTTAAAATGAAACATTTTGACAAAAACGCCTATGTCACAGTGATAAATATTAAAAACAACCAAGTTCAGTTGAATGTGGTAGCAAAGTCTATATATTCCAATAAATCGGGTAACTACATGTGGTATCACTGCTGATAAATTTAAAAATATCACAATTCTTGCCACCTTTTTCAAAAAACCAGAAAGTGTGCCTTCTTATCAATCCATTATGAAAATGACAACAGTGATAAATGTGAAAAAAAAAAATTTAATGTTGCTATTCGTTATTACGATAGTAAAACATGTTTGCAGTTCCGTTTATTTTTTATGAAAATCTAAGTAAAAACAACCAATGTCAAAGGGTTATAATATATCACAAAATTTAAAAATTGATCATAGGTCAAGCTAAAGTAATACCTTTATTGATAATAGCATTAAAAAAGGAGAAAGAATAATATTGACTTAAGTTATTATTATTAACATTGGTGATTTTTAATAAAAACTCTTCAATTATTGTTTACAAACAAAAATATAAAAATCTGTGAAAATTTTATTTATTAACCATTTAATAAAAAATGAGAAAAATGAAGTAAAAAACAATTTATTTACAAATAAAAAATATATATACAAATCCTAAGAATATAAAAGTACTGATTTATTTTCCTGTAGTGGATGAAGAGGTTTCTTTAACAATCTAGCCAAGTGTACATCACTATTTACGCATTTTGATAAATTAGAGCCTTTCCAATAACACTGAGTAGATGTTACAGATGGTTCCTCACTTCTTCTATGAAGCCACATATTTACAACCAACTGAAAAAAATAAAAGGGTTAGATATGCAGTTACAAAATAACTATATAACCAGCTACAAAATGCCTTTATTTTATGTAACAAGACGAGCAGAGCTTTACTAGCTCTGAACGAATCCAGTAAAGAACCTCGGATTTTCAAAACTTAAAAAAAAAAACAATCTCACCACATTTTCACATTTTTGAAATATTATAGAGCTTTTCGAAAAAAACTGTCATTTTTAAAAATACAATTTTTTGTTTAAACAGCTATGTCTCATTTTAGGCTATTGAGTATTATAAAATAAAAAATTACGGGATGCTTTGTTAGCTTCAAACGAATCCAGCAGAGCACCCCAGTTTTTTTTTAAACCACACCACGTTTTTTGGCTCCTACAATATTATAAAATATTCGAAATTTGGCATTTTAAAAAAAATTCGCAATTCCTTGCTGACTTCAAAGTTTTTTTCTGAAAACAAATGTACTTACCACATTTTTAGGATTTTAAAACAGCCTAAACATGTGTCATAAGTAGTTGTTTTTATATATATATATATATAAAAAAAAAACAAATTAAAAAACTGAAGTGTCCTGCTGACTTTGTTCCAACAAAGCACCCTGTATTATTTAAAAATAGCAATTTTTTTAGTAAAGTTTTACAATATTTCAAGAGTCTAAAAATATTCTAAAAATGGGGTGTGGTTTTTAGAAAAAAGCTTTAAAAAACCGAATTGCTCTGCTGGCTTCTTTCGAAGGTTAGCAAGCACCATGTATTTTTAAAAATATAATATTTCGAGTGCATAAATATATGGTGTTGCTGTTTTTAAAGAATAAACTTTATAAAACAGAGGTGCTTTGCTGACTTCGTTCGAAGCTATAGAGCATTTTAAGTTTTGCAAAAAACGAGGAGCATAAAATTTTTGAAAAGGGTATAAAAATAGCCTAAAAATATGGCATATTTTTTAACTCAAAATTTCATAGGTGCTCTGCAGCATTCTTTGGTATCATAATTATTACTAGGTTCACTAACAAAATCTGTTTCTAGATTATTTTAACACTTGCTGCGATTACAAAAAATGTCTATATGTCAAAATTAGAAAAAAAATATTTATAGGAATAAAGGGCCTTATACACTGTTTATTATATGTAATATAAAAACAAAAAAGCATAATAAATATTACAAACCTTGACATGCAGCATATCCTAAGTATATTGTGCACTAAAAATTTCATTTTTGTTAATTACAACCTCATCAGAAGGTTTTTGCTGTACTTTATGTTTAGGTGTAATTTGTCTCCTTCTCTCTTATGGAAAAAGAAATTATCCCCATATTCTTGCTTGGCAGATCTAAAAATAAAACCGGAGATAAATATGTTTTACTTGCTCCATATAAACTGTAACTACCTACTATTAAAACAAAGTCTTACCTTTCTGAATTTTGTAAACTGAGTATTGTTAAAAAATGCAGTAATCATCTCGGTAATCATATTTTCGTTTACAATGGGTAAAACACTTGATTCAACTTTTATAAATCCAGCTGATTTTCATATTAATAATAAAATTAAACCAAAACAAAAAACTAAGGTTAGGTGGTGTCAATTTTAATGTCACTTAGATGTGCGTTCACTTCGACATTCTGTTTGTCGGTTTGTTCGTTGGCTTGGTTTTGTATAACAAAAAAAACTTCGACACAAGATGATTGGTCTATTCCCGATGACGTATAATTTCAAATTTTAAATTTCAATTGGGCTTAATTTAAAAACTTTTGGCTTTTTTAACGAACTGACTATTTAGAATAACTTGTATAGCGACTAACTATTACAATATAATTTATAAAACAGCATATCTCACATGTGAACATGGCCCATTGTAGTAAATGTTAAACTTAAATGTTATGTATCCAAGAAAACTATTTTGAACTCCATCCAGTTTATTTTTATGACTTAGGTAGTGTGGGAACCAGATTCAGGAGCAATATTTAAGTTGTGTCCTAACTAAAGAGAAGTATAGAGTTGTAATTGTGTTTAGATTAGTGAAATCATGATTTGTCCACTTGACAAAGCCCAGCATTTTCATTAATTTTTAAATTGTAGCAGTGATATGGCCATTAAAGCTCATGGAAAATACTGTTATACAAATATGCTTGACACAACAAATAATGAAACGTTAGCATTCCGGAAGAGAATTTATTGATTTTCTATTTATCTTTAAACTGGTAAATGGCCTTGTTGACTCTCCTGAACTCTTGCAAAGTCATCTTAACTTTCCCTAATAAAAGTTGAAACAATTGGGACTTAGAAGGGGTATCTTCTTCATGAAAGGTCTTTGTACACCACAAACATGAACAGACTGTTGTCATCTTTGACCGTTCGTAATGTTTCTAGACAGTCCCGTAGAGTTATTAGTGAAGATCGATTTCCAAATAGACATTTCCATAAGATTTTATGGGGAAATTTCTGGTTAAATTTGAACGACCTTAGTATGTAAATTACATTTTTTATGTAACATATTATGTTGAATAATACAATATTTTTGATAAAAAATATTAAACATGGTACTGAGCCAAGTAGACACAAAATTACTAGTCGGCTTGAAGCCTATTAATTAAAGAAAAAAGAAATCCTGATCAAAGCCAAGAAATTACAATTGATTAATAAATTTAATGGAAATTAATTTTAGACCTTAAGCAGCACAGCTTCCTCTGCCAAATTTTTGTAGAGGTAAAAGATTTGGGTTCTTTTCAAACTCATATAACGGCCTCAGTTAATAAGGCATTAAAAAGGTTGGGTTTCCTTAGAAGAACTACTTCTGATTTTCAGAATGTGATGTGTTTAAAGATTCTCTAATCCTTAGTTAGGCCTTATATTGAATATGCCCCTACTCTTTGGAATCCCTTTTATATATATTTAATCCATAATATAGAACAGACTAAAAGAAAATTTTTCCACATTGTTGCATTTAAATCTGGTATCGCCGCTGTCAATTTCAGATACAATTATGACGAACTACACACTCTTTGTCATCTTGAGAGTAGAAGAAGCCAAAGGTATATTAAAGTGTTATTTAATATTAATTCATCTGCTGATTGTCCCTACTTGTTACCCCAAATTTGATTTTGTGTACCCTCTAGAGCAGTCATACTCGACGTGCGGCCCTCCAAGCTTTTCTTTGTGGCTCGAAACATCATTATTAAGAAGGTGAAAACTACTGGTTTCTGTTTTTAAAATCTTGAGCGAAATGTGCGAAAACCTTTGGATCATGGGGTTACTGCAAAATCAAGATAGCTCCACTTTCGGCATTTTCTTCTCCAAAATAGTTCAAATAATTAACGGCATAATCAAGACAAGTGTGAACCATAGAAATAGTATAGAAAGCCAATTCCATATATCAAAAATGAAACCATAAGGAGAAAATAGTGTGTCGGAGCTCATGCGTATAACGGTGCTGGCTCGAACAGGACCGGTACAAGTTTTTTTATTGATCGAACAAATAGTTTCACATGATGTTTCAGTCATATATTTTTGGAGATTATTCTTTATAAAAAACGATGAAAAAAATTCCAGCAAGGTAAATATGGTTCTGAAAGTCCTTATTAAGAAATATATGGCATAAAACATGAATAAGTTAATTTTCGGCAATCATCAATCATCGCAGCTTACTAGAAACATTCTATATAGTATAAACCAATTTATGGATTGTTTTCGATCAATGTAATACAAATATTTAAAGTTTTTAGTGGATGGTAACATTCCACATCAGCACATTGCAAACCTATTTATAGATAATAAGAATAAACTTCTAAATCATTAATTTGGTAGTTCTCTCACTTATAATATTTTTGTTTATATGACTTTTTTAATTTCTAAATATATTTTGGCCTTACAGTACAAAGCGTTTTTTATCTAACACTTTTTTTATTGAACGATGAATATTGAGAGGCGTGTACCTTTTTCGGAACAAGAGGCGCTTTAATTTGTAGGTGAATCGCTTGTTGAAAATTAATACCGTATTTGTATATATTTTTGGGAATGTAATTACACATAAATATTATTAGTTGATTATTTAAATTTTTATAAATTACTTTGTGGCGATATTTCGTAGATATAAACTGTTTAAATCATATAATTTAAAAATAAATTAATTTGAAAATCTTTTGTGTTAGATATGTTTAATATACTTGGCAACACTACAGAGACAAGTCATGCATACTGCGCATGCTTCTAGACACACTATTTTGCGATGTCAGGCACAGAGACGCGTTTTATGCACAGTAGGTTTCAATTTCTGCTTAAATGTTATATTATTTCTATGGTGTGAACAAAGTCTATATTCATGATAAACAGATGGTCAATAAAAACTAACTCCATATTAATACATATTCACAAACAAGATAAGTGGCATTTATACCGAAATATAATCAGCATTGTGTTCATTTGCTAATAATGTGTCTACCAAAACCATATAAGAGACATGTAACTTATTTTTTTCTAAATGAATTTAGTCCGATTCCTAATAGTGTTTCTGCCAAAACAAGATAAAAGCCAGAATTCTTTTTGCCTAAGCCATTTGTTTTGCCTATAACCGTCTCTGGCCTTTCTCGATGGGTCCGAAATCGATAAGGTGATTACGTCACCATTTCTTTCCAAGATACAACTAACCTTCAAAAATAAATAGATAATAACACGTGACGCCCTAATCGCCGTAGTGAATGATTGATTGGTCAAGCTGTAACGAGTGATTGGTTAAGCCGTAACGAGCGGGCATGCTAGCGCTCGTCTTCATATTGTTTGCACGTTAAAACGACCAGAAGCACTTTTTAAATCACCGGAACACCAGCTTTTCGCATTGCTTGAAAAACCCAAGCAATGCCGACAGAGTAAAAAAGCTCTGAAAATACTTATAAAAAAGTGCATATTAGTAATGCCAAGAAGATTTACTAAAACTTTGAAAATCAGATGCTACACCTAATGAATTTAATCATTATCACAATCGACCTTTATCCAATAATGTTAAAGACACTTCCTGAACCTTCCACAGAAGCTAGTGACACATACATTGTCTATTATAACCTGTACAGTGCACATGGATTCTTGTGTACGAACTCAACACAATATGTATCTAAGAGAGATACATTACATAGATTTGCAGTTTGTCGAACAAAGATAGGCGTCTCAATACGTGCCGTATCGAAAGATAAGAATCCCACTACTGTATGTAGTCAGCTAAAATAAGCTAAGTGACGTTTTTTCTCTTTTTTGTTATTACCTACCAATCGATATATTCTTAGTTTATGTTTTCTAAAGACTAATTATGTTTTAAATTCCTTTTTTTTATTGGAGATGTTGTTTATTAAACAGTTTGAAGCTTTTATTCCATTTTAAACTTTTGAGGAGCGTTTTCTTGAAACTCTTAAAATGTGAATTATCTTGTTTTTGCAATAACCCGACAAGATATATGTATGTTTTGTGTATTATCTATTAGAGGTTCTCACTAACTAATTTTAAATGGATGGCCTAAATAAAGGAAATCATCCAAAAATATTTCGGTCCGTGTAACATAGCAAACATACGTATGTGGCCCAAAGGAAAAAAGGTTGAGTATGGCTGCAGTCTAGAGTAACTAGGAATGTTAATACAATCTTCCAACCTTTTCACAGAACAAATTATGGTTCTCATTATTTTATTCCTAGAGTAACGAGATCTGCTAATAGATTAAATGTAGAATGGATTGTATCCCCATCAGATTTTGTAACCATCTATATATTTCTAAAATATTTAAATATGTAGATTGAATTTTTTATTGTACTTTATATACTAACAGTAGATATATTGTTAAATTTGGTATTTTATCATTTGTAGAATTAGATTGACAGCAATAGTAATTAAATGAAACCCCATTTAGTATTGTCTTGTACAACCATGAATTGGCATGTAGGTATAACTAAACCTCTTTTTCTTTCTCTGTTCACTTTATGTTCATCTCAAATTATGTGTTTCTTCCAATAAAAGTTACATAAGAAATTTAACAATCCTATACAACTCTATTAAGTTATATTTAAACTTACTTAAAGAAGGCATCGTGCAGTTTTTGATAATCAATATCAATTTTTCCTAGCTTAGGTCTAGCTCTTTCCCTCATTTTGGCCTTAAGAGTTTTAGATTCATCTTTGTCTTGTAAAGATGCTCTCATTTCCATGATTCCAGTTTTTTTAATAAACTCAGGAAGATTAAAGGGAGGTTTCTCTATTCCCCTCTTGCCTTGTAGATACTTTCTTTTAAAACACCAATGCCTTGGAACCTGAAAAAAAATTATTTTACTTTATTTCAAATGCAAAAAGTATTTCTTAAATGAATAAATTAATATTTTATGCAGTAAGTTTTAAATCTACATATCAGTTTACCTGCACAGTATTTCTATGAGCTTTGAGCTGTACTAGAAGCTTAGGATCTCTTGCTGTAACATCATGCATCTCAACAACATCAGGTCTATTTACTAACTGTTTTAATTCAGCCACACTTAACCTTGTGAGTTTCTTCATTTTCCTTTTCGATAACTTAGTTTTATCTTCATATTTTTTCTGAAATTAGAGTCTATAAATTATTTGTTCTGGAATTTACACTGAAAGTGGCCAAAACCAAATACCTCAGAAATTAAAAACTTCTTACCTCTTCTGACTCATCCATGTCATCCATATCATCAGCACTTGGCACTGCCTTACTGGACAAAGAAGTAGGAAGTGCTAATATCGGAGGAGCAATATCAGCCTTTTGGTCAGATATTTTAAAAGATTCAAATATACTGTAAAACTGACGATATTGTGGTGCTAATTCATGTAAACCAATGGACTCTTGAACATACCTAAAGTAAAATACATACATGAAATAAAAAAAAAAGTTAGGACTAGGCCAAATAAAATATTAAAGGTGAGGCTAACCATATGTGAGTAGTAGGGATTGAGTAAGAAAGAGAAGATCTTTTATATCTCACAAGTTACTTAATAAATAAAATATGTTCTTACTCAATTTCAACCTCTTCATCCACAGCTTTTTCCTGGTTATCTTCTGTTTCTTTTTGTCCATTTAGTTTTTCATTTTCTCTATTTTTCTTGTTCTTTCTCCTTTTCTTCTTTTTCTTGTTTTTACTTACTTTATCTTTTATTTCTTTTTCTTTTTGCTGTTTTAAAGGTTCAACTTCTGTGTCTATTACTGGATCCTAATCACAATTAAAAATATTTAAAACTATTAAAACTTTTTGATGAAATTATATCTTTTTATGTGTTATAAAAACAATATACACTTACATGTAGTAATAACAAAACATTTATTGTCCTCTTATAAAACAGATATGCAAATATCCTCAATTAAAGACTATGGGAATTTAGTTTAAAGGAATAAATGAAATGGTGAACAGTACACATAAATTATCTTCTATATTGATTCCTAAATTCTTACCACATTATCATCTTTTTCCCATAAAGGTTCCCTATCAGCATCCTTTTGAGCCTGCAGATTTTCATTACCAGCAGCATCATTTTCTGTACCAAGTTCCAGTTGCCTTTGATTTTTTAATGCCAAAACTTCTTCCAATGCTTGAGGAAGAACCACTTCAGAACTTGATTCCATTAATTGTTCTGGAGGATCAACTTTTAGTGAAAGAAGTGATGGAAGTTGTTTTTCACTTAAAGGTGGTGGTTGTAGTAGTGAAGGTGGAGGTCCCAAGGTAGCTGAAATTAAATGTTTGATAATTTATGTTTTCATTTTGTTGTAGAAGGAATATTCAATAAACTTCTTACGAAATTCATCACTAGTCCATCCTTGTGTTCCCGGAGGACCAAAAGCAGGCGGGGGGCCTAAACTACTAGTTGGAGGAGGACCCATGTTATTAGGTGGTGGACCTCCTTGTACCAGATCAGGAGGAGGCATTTGCATCATATCTGAATTTAATAAAAGGGGTGGAGGCCCAAGCTAAAATATAAAAACTATAGTAAGTATTGTACTAGGGTTTGCATTCAAAATTTACTCACATTCGTAGGTTCATCCATTTTTATTTATCATAAAATTGGATAAATAATTAGACAGAGAGAAGACGGCAACACAACCTCAACTTGTCTTCGTAAACGAAAACGAAGATCGCCAGAATAGCCAACAGAAATTGAAAAATTTGGCATTTCCCTAAATATGTCAATCGTAACTATCGATTCTTCATCGAATTACGTGTCTTTTTTTTCCACTGGTTTGTTGGAATCGTTTTTTCGCCGATGCGGTATTGAACCAATGAACTGGAGTGGGGTAGAAAGCCAATGTGCATATTGTATCAATAGAACAAGATGCGACTCAATGGGCGCAGCCATTTTTATTTCTCTTCTCACTCGGGAGTATTTACAATAACCATTTTCTGTTTCACATTGTTATTGTTCAATCCACATCCACAAGCTGGTGGATCAGACAATAACAAAGTGAAATAGGAAATGGTTGTTATAAATACTCCCGAGTGAGATGAAAAATAACCTGCCTTTGCCCATAGAGTCGCATCTCAAGCCTATTGACAAGCATTCTACCCCACTCCAGTTCATTGATCTCAACACATACTTTGATTACTATACGAGGCAAGAGAGAGGTCCGACACGCCCAACATAGGGCGCGGCCATTTTGAACCCTGTGACACAGTTTACAGCTAAAGAATCAGATCGCTCACTCTGCGTCGGCACTTTGGATCTCAATGTTTCAGCCCAGTATAAAGAACAATACAGTAGCGACAGATTGCGTCGGCTTCTTTGATGTCGGGGTGGTCAGATTTTCAATGACAGTTGACGTTTTTGTCGCTTATTTCTACACGGAGAAAAGTAAACTCTAAAATTGCAAATTAGCGATGTACACTTAGAAAAAAATTAAAACATGTACATATAACATTTTAATGTATTCTAGGCAAATAAATTAATCAAAATATTGTGTAACTTAAATAAATGAGTTCCGGTGAAAATCTAGATGTGCCAATTTTAAAATTTTATCATTAGATTAAAATAAATTACTTTTGTATGCCATTCATTGTATGAAATGTGTTAAACATTTTTTGGTTTCTTCCTGGAACTAATAAATTAACTCTGCACCTTATTTTTTTATTTAAAATGAGGTTATGTAGGTATCTTTTTACAAGTGAAACAACATATAACAATAATATTTATTAAAACACACAATTACAAATTAGTAAGTTTTTAATGAATTTACAATACAAGAATTATTTTATTTCAATTTTTGTTCCTACGTACAAATTTTTGACTTCAGATGAGTTTTAGCAAATGCCTGTTGTAAGTCACCCGTTAAGCACAATGCTGCCCAATTGCTTATATTACCTATGTATATAATTAAATACTATTAACGTCACATCATAAAAATTAGATGTTTATATTTAACGATTTTATGGTTTAAAATTTGTATGGGAAAGGTTATCTGCTGCGGGATTTAAATATTTAATGGCTAGAAGAATCAACAGTGACTGTCTAGAAAAATTTGTTGTGTCCATTAGGCAACAGGGTGGGAATTTAATTAATCCAACACCTGTACAATTCTAAAGGGCATTTAAAAAACTTTTTTGTCAAAATTATCTTCATTGCAATTCCATGAATTGTAATGAAGACCTGGACAAACACTTGCTACAATTAGATGTAAAAAATATTGTCTCTCTGTATCCTGAAATAAATAAAAACACTCGAGAAGCTGTGTTTCTTCCTAATTACAGCTACAGGACAGAAGATATAATAGTTCAAAATCCATTTAAATATGTTTGTGGCTATTTGATCAAGAAAGCTTTAGGCATACATGGATGTAATACATTTATTAAATTTTCAAAAGAATGTGAAGATTTGGATAGTTCACAGATTTTAACATATGATTGCAAATAAAGCACTTATGGAGGCCTAAAAACTCCAAATGAAAAGTTTATTATCTATATATTTAAATTATAAAAAAATGTTATATCTATTTTTAGCAATACCTGTGTAATGTCTGGTATATCGCATAGATTTTTTTGATATTATGAAAGAAATAGAATTTAATCATCCTTGTCCTAATTTCCCTAACGTATATATATCATACAACTATTTATAAGTTTATATATATTATTGTTTAAGTGCTTAAATATTGTATAAATGAAACAAATCAAAAATTAAAAAACAGTTAAAATAATAACACCACAAAATACATTTTTTTGTTTTCTTTTTGCTACTTTACAAGAAATACATATATATTTTGATTAGATGTAGTCAATCAGAACATTTTTAATCAATGGACATAGTGAATCAAAGAACATCTAATTCATTATAATAATTTGGAGGTAGGATTTTTGATTAAGAATGTCCAAAGGTTGCACATGGTACGCTTTCAAAAATGTCTCGTTCATGTTCAATGATAGTCTCAACAGAGGAAGCACTTGGTCGATGTACTAGGGAGAAGATAGACATTTGGCTGATGACCTAGATGGATAAAAAATGTGGGAACAGCAGTAGGCAATAAACGTTTACGGTTCAACGTTTTAGAAAAACAATTCTTCTCAAAATGTTTCTCACACAACCTGTAATTCCGATGAAGACTGTTCACATCTATGTTACTCAAATCTTCCCTATTACAAGCTCTTAACCACATGTTGGCCCTAAAATATAAAAAAGTTGATAACAAATGTTTAGATTGAGGGTAGTTCAGAAATTATATATTTTTTACATTATTTTTGTTGAAATTGTAAAAATTGTCCTCCAGACATTTAAATAATAAATATTTGGTTGTCAAATATAAAAATTGAAAGTATTTTCTTAAGACATACCTTTCTGGCTCCATGGGAAATGCAAAATAACTTGTCCCTTTGTCTGTTTACTCTGTTTGAGATGGACAAGGGCGATAGACACATCTCTTTCTTTTCTGATCAGGTGCAGAAGCCATTTCAAAAATATCACACAATAAATGAAAAACTAAAATAATAAAAATGTCTCAAAATATGCACTGGGTACAAAGATAATGACATATTTACATTATTTACATTTACATCGCATTGACACTATTGACGTTGACGTTTTTGTCGCTTATTTTCGGACATGCGCAGAAAAATATGGACCCCTCATAAAAAATGATCTGTCGCTACTGTATTGGTATATATACTGGGGTTTCAGTTTATACACTGTGCAACTCGGATAATACAATGGGTGCTATGATTGAACGTTTACGTTATCCGTAACGTACATGTTAGGCCGAATTTTAAAAGTAACGAGGCAAGTTCGGATGATGGAAAACTGTTAAATTAGAAGATAACAGGCGGAAAATAACAGTAACGTGTTGGAAAAAGTTTTCCATCATACGAACTTGCCTCATTACTGTTAAAACTCTGCCTAACATGTACGTTATGGATAACGTAAACGTTCAATCATAGCACCCAATATATGACAACCGCCTATAATAAAACAGCAGTCTTCTGCGTATCCTGAATTTGTATCCCTGGGGGTCAATTCTCGACTTTTATTCCCTTGGGAAAATAAAATTTTCTCATGGGAATTCAGTTTTCGTATTCTCGACATAATCGGTGGAATATTTTCCAATGAGAAGTATGGGAAAATATTCCCCTGCTTACGAACATTGGAAATTGTGTTTTCCAATGGGAATTGTACTAGAGTTTGCGCATTAAAGTCGAAAATTTGACGAAAGACCACGCGAAAGTCTTAAGACATAACCAAAGATTATTGGATATCTTGGACTTTTGGTGAAATTGTAGTTAAAACATTTTTTTGGCGTATTTATAGATTGATAATATTTTATTTATGTAGGTATATTATTTTTAATTCTCTTTCACTAAGAAACTGTATAAACTGATTTTCCTAAATCATTTAGAAATTGTGGGAGCTGCTAAGGGACTGGCAAATAACACAAATTCAGAAATTTGTAGTAAATTTAATAAGACCTTTCCGAAAATTTTATTATTTTCGTTAATGAAAGAATTTCTTAGTTTCTCGAAACTTTCGTTGCTCTTCCATACAAAAGCTACCTTTTCTTTTTTCAACATGTGAAAAGAAAAAACTAAGAATGACAAGTTTTAATTATTATACGTAATCGAATATTTTCACTTGTTCCTCGATCGCTAGCGATTGCTCGGCATGGCACCTGTTCCAGCGCGGAGGCTCGGCAGGTAATCGGATACCCAAAAACCACAACAAATACAAATAATGCCAACAGTAAATTTTAAAATATCTTTAATGTTATTGGTTATTTCGAAATATTAGTGGACTTAATATCAGACATACGTGAAACTACTATTTCCATGGGAATGTTTATTCCGACACGTTCGAGAATTGCATAACCTATTACCATGGGAATATAAGTAGTGGAATATTTTCCCATGGGAAAATTTTCCAATGATCTCGAGAATCGAGCCCCTGGAGTAGATGTTATTTTAGAACTTTCAACTGGTCCGAGTGAGCTACTGATTCTTTAGCAATAAACTGTGACTTCAAAAATAATATTCACTGACACTGACAGCAGCAAGCAAAATATCAGGTGCGTTTTAATCATCCGCTTCTGCTTCCGGAATTGTCGGTTTAACCTGTCAGATTAAAACAAGAAAACCGACAATTCCGAAGCAGAAGCGGATGATTAAAACGCACCTATTAAAAATATTGCGCCAAGATGTAGGCAACACGTAATAAGGGTTCAAAATGGCGGAGTTTTCTATCTCCTTTTAAAAGGCACTCAAAAGCTGCGCAGTGCGACCATTCTCCGTATAGTAAAAGAAAATCAAAGTATGTGACTGGTAGCCATTTGGACAGGCCGTTGGAATGCCTAATTGAACGCCTTTTGTTGGATTCGATTTATTTATGGTTGACCGTTTTGGGTCCTATGATTGAACGTTTATGTTATCCATAACGTACATGTTAGGTCGAATTTTAACAGTAACGAAGCAAGTTTGTATGATGGAAAACTGTTAAATTAGAACATAACAGGCGGAAAATAACAGTAATGTGTTGGAAACCGTTTTTCATCATACGAACTTGCCTAATTACTGTTAAAACTGAGCCTAACATGTACGTTACGGATAACATAAACGTTCAATCATAGCACCCGTTGGGTTGTAGCAGAGGTTGTAGTAAGCTCATGGAGGAAAGATTAGTAAGCTTATAAAGAAATGCCTTATACCCACATACATGTGCTTATACCAGAGACCTTATAATAACGCACCTATTAAAAATATTGCGCCAAGATGTAGGCAACACCATGGAGGAAGGATAATTGGCAACACGTTATAAGGGTTCAAAATGGCGGAGTTTTCTATCTCCTTTTAAAAGGCAAATACGGGCCCGACAACTCAGCTGATTTTTGTTTATAAATACGGACTATTAAAATTTAAGAGAATCCCACCGTTGGCCGGGATTTTTTTATTTAATTTAATTATTTAAAATTAATTCTGATGCCTTGGTAGGATTCCCCACTCGACCATTCACTGTTGGGTTCTAATTAACAGTGCTGTTCCTAAAGTGGCGCAAGGAAACAGTAACAAGGCCTGTCTGTAGGGGTGTAGGAGTATTAGAGTACTAATACTCCTGCACTATGGAGTATTAGACTACTAATACAATCCATAACCTACATAGAACACTAGGCTAATGACCTTAGATGTTGAAGCCGTACACCAAATAAAAAAAAAAAAAAAATTTAAGAGAAGAAAATAGAAGTAGAAGATATTTTTTTAATTTCATAACCTTACATTCATTTTTAATCACAATCATAACATGACAAAACAAATAACTTTTGTCACCGGCAATGCCAAAAAGTTAGAAGAAGTTATCCAAATTTTAGGAAGTGAATTCCCCAGACAATTAATTAGCAAAAAATTAGACCTCCCAGAGTTGCAAGGAGAATTAAACGAAGTGTCTATACTCAAAGCAAAAGAAGCTCATAGGCAAGTACAAGGACCAGTCATTGTAGAAGACACTGCATTATGTTTCAAATCTTTAAAAGGTTTGCCAGGTCCATATATTAAATGGTTCTTAGAAAAATTGGGGCCGGAAGGTTTACATCAAATGCTTCACGGATTTGAAGATAAGTCTGCTGAAGCAGTTTGTACTTTTGCCTATCATCCAGGCAGTGACTCTGATGATGTAATATTGTTTCAAGGAATAACAGATGGTACTATTGTCGATCCAAGAGGGCCTAGGGATTTTGGATGGGATCCATGTTTCCAACCAAAGGGATATAATCTTACATATGCGGAAATGCCTAAAACTGAAAAAAATAAAATTTCACATAGATATAAAGCATTAGATAAGGTAAAAAAGTATTTTGTAAAAACAGAATAGATGTAAAAATGTTAATAGAATACCTATTTTTTATTGTATAATGAAATGCTGTATTAAAATTTTATATAACAAAATGTTTAACAAAAATGTGTTCACTGAACGATTTTTTCATTGCACTTATATTAGATTTTGTAGAGAATGTGGACCATTTAGCTTCCTCCACATCAAGTTTTTCAGATCTATTGTCCTTCATCGTTTGTTGGCGAGTAGCTACCTTGCCTAGTTTGGTCTTTCGTAGTAGACTTCATAGACCATAAACTAGTTTTTTTAGCTTAGCTAGTTGCCTTTGGTTTTATTCTCCAATTGTAAAGAATCTCAGTCTGAGTCTTGGTAGAGCTTCACAATAGCACAATATGTGTACTGCAGTTTTTTTATTATTATTATTATTATTATTATTAGTATTATAATACATTGATAAAGGCTGAGTCCTATGATAGCCTAAAACCAAAATAGAAAATTGAAACAAAGTAAACAGTGAGACAAAAAAAGAGAACACTAAAAATTAAATAAAAATGTTAAACAAACACTTGTCTAACTTATTTTTAAAGGTGTCACCAACAACTTTGTCGCTGAAATCATTCCATACATTAAATACTCGGTTGGAAAGGAAAGATTGTGCTTCATTTTCAGGTTTTCCTTTTTTAATTAGTTTCCTCCTTTTCCTGATATAATCGGCACTAGGCCATGTTTATAGACCTACTAGTACTCTAGTATTTTTCCCATAATTGATTAGTAGATGGTCGGTTTAATTTTAGCAATGGTCCTTTTAAGAACTATTTGGCCTGTCTGTCCTGGTGAATTGTTCTACTACTCCTGAGATTTTTTTAACATCCACTGCTTTGTAATGTTCTGATACCAGTCTTTGTGACATTTCAGAACGGTTCTGGGCCAATAAGAGCCTTTGAGACTCCTTCTTGTGCTAGTAAATGAGCCTCTTCATTGACCTTATGTGTTCTGGGACCCAGGCCCCAGGCTAAGGGCTTCCAAAACAGTTCCACACAATCTTTAAGTGTACCTGCATGGAACTGAGAGAGTAAGTGTTCTGTGGAACTGAGTGCTTTTAACATAGTGCGTGCCATCGTAGCTGAGACAGGGTTACCAGGTTTTTGAAAGAGATGACGGACAGACAGGGGATTTTAGGGGAAATAGGGGGAAGTAAAAACAACTCGGTCTATTTTTAATCTTTTAATCAAAACTACTTATTTTGCAAGAAATCCTTACCTAATTTTGGTAAAGATACACTGAGGTGATTTTACAAATAATAAGGTGAAAATGTAAAGTTAGAAAATTGAGAAATCGCAAATCGAAATCCAAAGTCAGAAAACATTTTCACCTTATTATTTGAAACACCTCAGTCTATCTTTACCAAAAAATAGGTACGGATTTTTTACAAAATAAGTAATTTTGATTAAAAAAAATGAAAATAGACAGAGTAGTTTTTACTTCCCCCTATTTCCCCTAAAATTCCCTGTCTGTCCGTCATCTCTTTCAAAAACCTGGTAACCCTGAGCTGAGACCGACCCTGGACTTCTCGCCGTACAAGCCGCAGACTGTGTTTCAATACCGCTGGACAGAGACAAACACACTCCTTGGAGAAGTTACCGGAGAAAATTTTGTGCGCGGGCTGAGTCATATGTGAAGAATTTCCAGAGCTACTAGACCACCAAGAATCTTCTCGAGCAGGGCTGGCTTTATATAAATAGCGTGACATTGTTTAGCAGATCAATTTATAAACAGAAATTTGAATATAACTATTGTCAAGTAACGGTGAATTGTAAAATAAATTAGAAGTGTCAAATAGAAATAAATTAATACGTATATAGTGTAAATAAATTATAAATAAACTGTTTTAAATAAACAAATTATTTTAAATTATATAATCGTTACAGTAACTTGACTGAGTATATGACAATAGTTTTTTAATTTACCTTATTTTTTAGTGCCTCTTTTGTGCAGAGATGTATTACTGCCATTTCTGCTTGGAATACTTTTTCATGTTTACCTAAGCTCAGTGTGATTCTTGTCTTTGGCTTGGCACTATATATACCTACGCCTGATCCTTCATGGGTTTTCCTCCTGTCTACCTTCCCTGTCTGGTATACTTTATATTGCTTATGAAATCTATATCTTGGGAGCATTTCGTCTGAAGGCGTTCCCATTATTTGATCAATCTCCAACTCTTTGTACAGTCACATCCATGCATGTTTCTTAGGGGTCCTGGCTGGACCTTTGTGCAGTCTATTATATGTAGGGTTGCCACATTTCATTTTATTTATGCAGTATTTTTTTTTTTGATATTCAAATTTTTTCTTTGATATTAATTCAAGTTACACTTTTTGAGCATGGTGACCGATATGAAAACAATTTTTTTCTTTTATTGAATAAATAAGAAGTTAATATTATTTAAAATATTTTTATTATCTTACAATACATGTAGGTTATTCAGGAATTTTTATTATTGAAACTATAGGTTTATGGTAACTGAAATAAGAAACATAAGTTTAAAACTTGATATCCTCTAAATATCTGAAAAATACCGCGTCAATGGTGGTCCCATATTTTGTTGTGGATTCTTGTGGATCATTATTCATTTTCAAATTCAATTTTCCCGAAATTGTGTCTAAAAGAGATAGAATCAGTTATGAGCAGCTAGCAGCTAGTCTACACGCATACGTCTAGTCGCACGCACACTAACATCGTGCCAAACTCTGCCGAACTGAAACGACGTTAAACGATGCACGGCTTTCAACGCCGCACCGCTGTGCGATTTTTAGAATTTTTGATTTTCTTTTATTGAATAAATGAGAAGTTAAAATTGTTTAAAATATTTTTATTATCTTACAATACATGTCGGTCGGAGTGGGGGTGTTAGGTTAATTTTCTTACGAAATTTCTTGATTCGGTCGCCGCGATAAAAGCTACGCAATAGCTTAAAAAAAGGTCATCTATTTATTTTTCGTACAAACAAGGGTCTTTTACCTGGTCTATTTTTGTATAAATCCGATTCCTCTGCGGCTTTTAAAAAGCTTGGCTGCCTCGCCAAGAGCGTGACGTCTGGCAACTGGCAACCCTAATTATATGTGATAGAACTGGCTTTGCCTTGAATGAATATGTTTATTAGGTTTAGTATGACTGCTAGGGCCGCTGTTGGAGTAATTTCCAAGGTTCCCGTGGCACTCAAACTCGCTTGCCTTTGAATATCATTGAAGGGCTCCAGCTTACTGAGTCTTTGGGGGACATTTTTGGTTATAGTCCCCAATTTTTTCTCACAATCTTCGACATAAGTTAAAGGATGTTGTGTTTTTTGGCTGAGTTTTTGTGAAATTCAAGGAAAGGTGGGATTCTGGGATCAAACAAGGAGCTGCAGAGTTGCTAGGAAGCTTCTAAGTTACTCTGATAAAACCACAGCAAATAAAGAATATGAATAATTTACAGAATCTGCTCCAGATCACAGGAATTCTGACTGGTTATTGAGAAGTACGGAAGCATCTCCATAGCATGCCCAGACAACACACCAAATCCCAGAGATATCCACAGAATAACTTTTGTGGATATCCAATATATCTACAGGATATCAGAAATATTCCGTGGATCTAATATGGATATCCAAATGTCCGTCTATATCCAAAATATAGAAGATATCATATGGATATCTAGCAAAATATCTAATGAGTATCTTCCAGACAATACAAGAAATCACAGATATCCACAGAATATAATCTGTGGATATCCAACCAAATATCCGTCTATATCCCAGGATAGAGAAGAATTCGGATATTCAGCAAAATATTTTATAGGTATCTTTAGTAGAGGTTCATAAGTAACCAATGATTATTGAATAAAGTCGATAGAAAATAGCGGAGAAAAAATATTTTCAACACTCTGCCTTTGATTTTGCCCACTAAGGAGAAAGTCATCCTTATTAGGACTCTTCAGCAATAAATGGAAATTCTCGACTCCAGTCTCTAATGGAGTCTGATTGTGAAACAAATTTCGATCCAACTCAATTACGGCGGGTTGAGCATGAGTAGATGCGAAAGTAGTATCGCCATCTATACTTAGTAAGCAAAATCAAAAATTACATCTAGTGGATATCCACGATGGTTTGCGTTCGCGCCTAGACTTTGATATATTTAGTGGATGTCCATGGGATATTGAATACACCTTTAAAAAATTAATTTTAAATATCTGAACGGTACTATTAGCCACAATGGCGAACACAATAGCGTAATTTTTTAATAATTTGCTATATAATTACTATTATTTATGGACATTTGCATGTCTATAAATTACAGCTCATGGATATAAAATATATATCCACCATGGACTGGACATTCAGTGGATATTGGGATGTTCAGTAGATATCCAAGGGATTTGGTGTGCTGTCTGGGTGGGGCTGTCAGAATCCGCTCTTTGTAGGGGTTGCAAACAACAAGATGTGACTATCGAGCATATCCTCTAGGTACTCGATGCTCTCATTTACTAGATTAGTGTTTAAGCGAGTTTTGGCTAACGCCGACCGATATAAAAGAGGCATCTCTCGGTGCCGTTAACTCCCTACCATAGACCATTTACCTACCTCAAATCTGTAGGCTGGCTGAAGAGCCAAGAGGGACCTATCAATCTTCAGGAGGATGCACAATGGGCTTAGTGAAGCCCAAGTGCCGTGGCGCAACCCAAACGTTACAGAAGTATAGGCGTTAGTAGCTGTTAATCTATATGTTATATGTTCTTAACCGATTTTGAAAGTTTTAATTCAGAATGCTTTCTCATGGCATTATTTGTGAAACATCAAAACACCGCGTAAATAAATACAAATTTCTAGTCTAGTTATTTGATTCGATGTCATTTGTCATTTAAGTGTCATGCATAGGTGTCAATAGGCGAGTTCGGTCAGTCAGGGCCTGGAGCGGGACAAATTTTAGGGTGCTTTTAAATGACATTTAAGCGTGTTAAACTGTCACTAATCGGACTAAACCGAACGCTAAAAGAGTCGTTTGGAGTTAAAAGTGTTAAAGGAGTTAAAGGAACGTGGCAAACCGAACGCAATGAGTAGGTCTTTTCCTTTGCATCGAAAGTGTAGCACTGAGCTGCGTCACTTCTGAAAATATCGTTCCATCCATACAATTTGTATATATGGAACGATATTTTCAGAATTGGTGTAGCCCAGTGCTACACTTTCGATGCAAAGGAAAAGACCTAAAGAAAAGGTTCTTTCGTTCGCTGTTGGTGCAGTGTCCACCAGTGTAAATTACACCAGTTACACCACCTTATTTACCTTAGTTTATTTCCCTCCTTATTCCTTATACATATTTCGAGTGTAATTCACTCCTGCTAAATAGCTGGTGGAGAAAATATCCACCAGTGGACACCACATCGCCGACAGGAAGGTTTAGTGGATTTTACACCGGGCCGAACGAAAGGTTTAGTGTACGTTGGTGTAGTTCATTCCTACACCAGTGGGACGAACGAAAGAACCTTAAGTGTTCTGTGGGTGTCAAGCACTTCAGCACTTCAAGGTCGGTGGTCAAGTGATGTGATAATAAAAATAAAAGTGAGGTTAATAATATGAATTATGAATATTTAATTATTTATTAAAAACACATGTTTAGCATTTTTAGTTTCTGTATAGTTTAGTTAATAATTGAGAAGTACTAATATGTCAACTGTTATTCTTGGCGGGGGTTTATCCGGGTTATCCGCAGCTTATTATTTACTAAAAACCCATCCAAAACATTCAGTGCAACTACTAGAGGCTTCAACGAGATTAGGAGGATGGATAAAGTCTAATACATTGAATAATAATATTATTTTCGAAGAAGGACCAAGAACCATACGGCCTCATGGTTTGGCAGCATATAATACTCTGTCGTTAATACAAGAAATTGGATTAGAAAGTAGTGTTATACCAATTCATTCAACTGCACCTGCTGCCAAGAATCGGATGATTTATGCTGATGGACAATTGCATTTACTTCCTTCCTCTATTTCAAGTATCTTTAAGGTTATGTCGCCCTTTTCTAAACCTTTGGTTTGGTATTTAATGCATGATTTTATTGCCCAGAAACAAACTGTTAAGGATGAATCGATTTATGATTTTTGTAATAGAAGATTCGGTACAGAGGTTGCAGATTATTTAATAAGTCCTATGATTTGTGGTATTTGTGCTGGGAATTCAAAAGAAATAAGTGTTAAATTCCTGATGAAAACTTTATTTGAATATGAACAAAAGTATGGAAATATTTATAAAGGACTTATTAGGAATTTATTTAATAATTCTCCAAAGACTGAACTTAGTAAATTAGCTAAAAGAGCCAAAGTAGAAAGGTGGAGTGTTTACTCATTTAAAGATGGTTTAGAAAGTCTGCCTAGAGCTATTGAACAATATATTAAAAAAAAGGATATTTCAATTGAATTAAATGCCAAATGCAAAAGTATAGAGTTATATCCAAGAAACATTACTGTACATCTAGACAATGGCAAAAGTATTGATGCTTCTCAAATGATAAGTTCCATTTCTTCTGAAGAATTAAGCCAATTATTGAAAAATCAGCATCCTGATTTATCTACACTTCTAGAGAAAATCAAAAGTGTAACTGTAGCAGTTGTGAATCTACAATATAACAAAAAATTATTACCTAAAGAGGGATTTGGTTTTCTAGTTCCGCCTAAAGAACGGCTACCCATACTAGGTGTTATTTTTGACAGTTCTTGCTTTCCTAATGGTGAAAATACAGTGCTCACTGTAATGATGGGTGGTGCTTGGTTTCAAGAACTATTTGGTAAACAATGTGATAAAGAATATATCTTAAATCTTGCTCAAGAACATTTAAAATTGATGCTAGGGATAAATGAACAGCCTGAAAATGTTAAAGTCAACATACTTGAAAAGTGTATTCCTCAGTATACTGTGGGTCATAATGAGAACGTTGAGAAAATTCAAAAGTATATTAAAGAAAATAAGTTACCATTGGCTCTATGTGGTTCTTCATACTATGGAGTAGGTGTTAATGATGTGATACTATCATCTAAAAACGCTGTTGAACAGTTATGTTGATTGTTGTGTATATAATTTCTTAATAATCTGTCATGGAATAAAACAAGTTATTTTTAAAGGCTTTTTTATGTTTTTATTATAACAGAAATATCAAAAAGCAAATATGAATCAATATTATATGTTCTGTACAAATATCTTACACAGTAAACTATTTTGACAAAGCTTTAATAAAGAATTAAAAAGGCATATAATGGAATGAAATAATCAAAATTTTATTGTTATAAATAATCTAAAATAGATGAACACTTTTATAATTACATATTTCTACAGTATTGGCCATCGAACATCTTCCAATATGCCTTGGCACAGGTAGTGAGGCAAGCAGGAAAGGAACAATACCAGCCTGTACATCCTGGCCACCATTTCAACATGGTCACTTCGTATAAATAGTATGGTTGACACCATTCCTTTCTGCTTGATCCAATGTCGGCTCTCTGTAGCTTTTACTCGCACTTGTGTCGGGTATATTGGAAGACGTTTGATGGCCAATACTGTATATTGAAAATAATATTTAAATAGGTTCAAATAGCATTTGAAAAATATGACAACCCCCGGTAGAACCATTCATACATAACCATGTCGCTTGGTTGCCTCACTGGTAGATGATGATAAGCGTTATGTAGAGACTTCACCATTTTTGTAGATATTAATTTGAGACTGAGTTCCCTTCTCTAAAAAATCACACTATGGTACTTGATTCCTTTTGAATCCAATTGGTTTTGCCAAGGGATCTTTCACTCTACAGAAAACTTAAATCGAAAATATATATTGCTAAATTGTGGCATTTCTTCTGTAATTCCGAAGGTAATTCTGAATAATGCTCGTTAATTCTAATTAATGCCAGGGCAAGTACTGCTAGATAATTCCCGAGATAATTCAGTTTAATAATTTAAATAAAACCTTAGGTTTTCTAAAAAAAACATGATTCTTTATTTTGGGATTATTTACAATAATTTTTTTTGCTCTAACGGTTTTATTTATCGAGATTCCGAAAAATGTATAATAAGTTTCATTTTTTAGGAACTACCCTCTGGGCAATTATTTTAAATACAGAGCTGGAATTTTTATTCTATTTTTTTTGTACTATTTCTTTTGAGTAAGTACCTATAACCACAACAGATGCGAAACCCGGCAAAAGATCAAATGATTTTGAAATGAGATTTCTATGACCTTGAACCACAGAATGACCTACCTATTACAGAAGCGAACGCTTGCGTCGGCCGTGTCGGCACTTTGATGTCCGGGGGTAGTATTCTCGAATCACGAATACCGACATTCGCATATGTGTTTTACAATGTGTCTCACTTTGTTGAGCGAAAACCAAGTGAGACAAATCATAAATCTCGCATGCGAATCTATATTCGTGACTCGAGAATACTACCCCGGGTGGTCAAAATTTAAAGTGACATTCGGTGACAGTTGACGCTTTTGCCGGTTGTTACCAATGAACTGGAGTGGGGTAGAATGCTTGTCAATAGACTTGATGTGCGCAATGAACTGGAGGGGGGTAGAATGCCAATGTACATGTTGTACATTAGAACAAGGTGCGACTCGATGGGCGCAGCCATTTTTATTGTTCATCTCACTTGGGACTATTTATAATAACCATTTTCTGTTTCACATTGTTATTGTTCAATCCACAAGCTGGTGGATCAGACAATAACAATGTGAAATAGAAACTGGCTATTTTAAATACTCCCGAGTGAGATAAAAAATAACCTATCTTCGCCCATAGAGTCGCACATCAAGTCTATTGACAAGCATTCTACCCTACTCCAGTTCATTGGATGTGCGACTCTATGGGCAAAGATAGGTTACTTTTCATCTCACTCGGAAGTATTTAAAATAACCATTTTCTATTTCACATTGTTATTGTCTGATCCACCAGCTTGTGGATTGAACAATAACAATGTGAAACAGAAAATGGTTATCATAAATAGTCCCGAGTGAGATGAACAATAAAAATGGCTGCGCCCATAGAGTCGCACCTAGTTCTAATAGTACAACATGTACATTGACATTCTACCCCTCCCTCCAGTTCATTGGTTGTTACACTGGTAAAAATGAACAGTGTGGCATTATCTCGGACGAAGTGCTAGTAGCCAGTAGCCACAACCGTTTTGACAAGAGCTGTGACCTGACAAGCAGGATAGTAGGGATGGGCAAAACTGCTATTTTTAAATAACAGTTATAACAGTAACTGCTTTTTCTAAAAAGCAGCTTTCAAATAGCTGCTTTTTAATAGCAGTTTATTAAATCATCGCAACATGTAGTTCGACTACTCTGCTTAAGTGTTTACCGGTATTTCATTATTTACTAGTCGATCGGTGATCGCGTTCAAATCTGTTAAGCTGTCTTATAATGTCGAGTTAAATATCAACCTGTGCCGGTGGTTCCCCAAATTGTCAGAATAAATCGACGACAACGGGAATGGTAACAATTAAAAAATTAGTCTTTGTATGCCATCACGTCCTCTCTGAGGTAAGTTTTGTGTTGTGAGTTATTTTCTTAAAATAAATTTATTTGCTGAAAATATTTGTAAGAGTGCACAGCATTTTTGGTCTAACCATAACTGTTATTGTACAGAAAAACATAAACATCCGTAGTGCACGTATAAAATACGACATTCGCATCAGCAACTTGCCATTGTCATCGTCGCATCACGCGCACCATGCACTCACAACATAGTCACAAAGATCGGCGTATCTCAAATCGAAATATTAGTGAAAATGGTAAACTGCTATTTAAGAAGCAGCGATTTGTAATAGCCGATAGCAGTTGAAAGCTGCTTAGTTCAAATAACAGTTGTCAAATAGCAGTTTACTAAAAAGCAACTCATCTCTACAGGATAGCGACGTGACTGTCAACGAGAAGCGAGAGTCGAATCCACGGCGCTTCCTCCTATCCTCTGCTTAAAGTTCAATCGTTATATGTTAATTACACCTTCAGTTAAAGACAGTAGGTTCTTTCGTTCGTCCCACTGGTGTAGTTAGGTGTAGTAATGAACTACACCGACCCACACCCATACCTTTCGTTTGGTCTGGTGTAAAACCCACTATGCCTTCCTGTCGGCGATGTGGTGTACATTGGTGGATATTTTCTCCACCAGCTATTTAGCAGGAGTGAATTACACTCGACGATGTGTATAAGGAATAAGGAGGAAGTAAATTAGGGTAAATAAGGTGGTGTAACTGGTGTAATTTACACTGGTGGACACTACACCAATAGCGAACGAAAGAACCTAAAGTTTTATTTACGGTACAAATATAACCTATATCATAATCCACAAACTCTAGTAGGCGCTACTACGCTTGCGCTCACATAAAATTTGTGCGATATTCGCAAAATATTAAAACGATTTCAAGATTCCCGCCCCCCAGATTTTGAATAATGCGAATTCGCAAGAAATTCAACTTTCGAGCTGTCAAAATTTCCATCTTGTCATTATTGTGATATTGACCAATGGCAGCGACCACTGAACTGTAACTGTTACTGGAACGCCAGTAAATAATACATGCGCGAGAAAATTTTGTGCCATCCATGCAGCGTCTAATGGAGTATATTTATTTTGAAAGTGCTGTACTGTAAAGTTCGTGCGCTTGCGTATGACTTACATGGTAGCCATGACGCTGGTCGGCGTGAACAGGGATAACTTTAGCCCAAAGCACGAGGTGTTTAGTGAAAATTGTTGTGCTTTTAGTTTGTTTAGTTTGGTTTAGTTGTTTCTGCTGTATTGAAATTTGCTAGTTTCAAAATTATTGCAAATTTGTGTTTATGTGGACACCCAACAGTATTGATTTTAATATTTATTTAACAAAAAATCAGAGGACACTAAGTGCCTTTTAAAATGGTGCGGAAATGTATGGTTTTGTTTTGTAAAAATAATAAACCGCCATTATACCAGTAAGTTCAGTTCTATTTATCATATTACTTAATTATCTATATAAAAATATATTTTGCAAATCGGGCCATATTTTTGCATAACTAGTGGAGCTGTACGTTCGTGATCGATTAGCCGACCTGCTAAGTAGTTTAAACATTTTTATTAATTTTAGAATTTTTAAACTGTTTCCACATCTTTTTATAAATAATAATTGTGATATAGTTTACAGAGCAATGTCGGAAGCAGCTACCATATGTCTTTTTTCCATTATAATTATTTGTTTAGCTATCAATAAATTTTGTGTATAAATGGTTTTGTTTTAAGTACACGCATTTTTTCGGCGAATTAGGGATGTTTTATTTTCTGAATTTCCAAATCTCTTTAAATTTGTGTTTATGTTAATATCTATTTTAATTTTTAGATCAGGCTGACTAAGTATATATTTACTCTACAACGTTCTAACCTAACATTTTTTTGTACCCTTAGTTTAACCAGCAATAGGTATCTAAGTTGGATGATGGCTTTAGGAAGGAATCCTGATATTGAAAAACTTGGTACTGGTAATGTAGTGTGTAGTGCACACTTTACCGAGGCTGATTTTATATATGTAGGTGAAAAGAAAAGTTTAAAACCAGATGCTGTACCTAGTTTAAATTTGGGACAACGTCAAGTATATAATACAAATATTGGTGCAAGTTCAAGGTAATAGTTTTTTAAATAAAATTATAAATAGTAGGTAAGATATATTTTTTTTAGTCAAACCAGAGAATGTAGTGATTCTGAAAAATACTGTGCCTTATACAAACACAAATATCAATATGATAATGAAAATAAGGAAAATCTTCAGCAGTCATCATGCTCTTCAGAGATTTTTTTATCCTACAGGTATATATATGAATAACATTTTTCAGTAGTGGACTTTAACTATAATGCGTATTTTTAGAATACCAGAGATGAACATAGCTAGTGATATACCTGCTACTATAGTAGGTTTTTTTTATTCATATACATTCATAAAATTTTAAATATTTTTACAATAAAACATAGTTCTTTTCCATTATAATTAAATAAAAAAATAATTCAGTAAAATAACAGTAACTCACAATTTAAAACTCCTCATTTACTGATATGATATGAAACACAATTTTTATTTTTAGGTCTCTAAAATAGGGGGGTTG